ATGTAGTGACTATCATTAATACTAATTGATCTTGCATCTAATAGTTATGATATCACTCCCTCCCATATGAGAGCGGTTGTTCTTGGACGCGGAACTTAGAGGAAGACGAGAATAAAAGAATACCCGAAGTAAGAAGAATAGTATTTCTAACACCGACATGGGTTGTCTTAATTGGCCCCCCCTTGGCGCAATGCCACTTAAATGTTGGACCCGTAAGGATTTGGCATGCCGAATGCAATTTCCCTCCTAGCTGTTAGCCACAGCACCAATTGTACCCATCCCAAGCAATCTCCTCCCCACCAGCGTCTGACATGTTCCCATGGCCCACAGCACCCCAAAAGTACACCGATGCCGGCCATGTGGCAGCGCATTCACTGCCGATTGCCACAACAGTGCCCCAATACATGTGCCCCACTGGGCTGTGACATCTGTTAGGCGTTTCTCCATCATGTGGGGAACAAATGGCATCGCCACATGTGACTCACTGAGTCAGTAGCACGCACAACTCCCCAGGTGTCGTGAAAGGCTGCTGCAGGCCGGCAGGGTGCAAGTCGCAGGTGGCAGCCATGAGTTCGTCACATTAAATAGCCTATAGCGTAAAACTGCGTTTAAAGCAGGCGAATTTATTAAATTCGAAAAAAAACAGGTATTAAACCATATTTTCATTTAGAACCACCCGTCTTTCCCAAGCTTAGCTTGCGTTGGATGATTTACGAAAAGACATGAAAGGAATGGTTGGACATCCGATAATGCTTCTTTGTATGTGTGGTGCCCAGCAATACAAGAAATATCACGGTGGGTATGATACCTAAACAAGATGGGGCACATGCAATCACACGGCCTGTGAAAACACCAGGAAAGTAAGAATGGGATGTCATCGTGTTATGTAAACATACAACATTGTTGGAAAGGCAACAAGTTAGAAATGGACTAAATATGTGGAGGTTCTGGCTCGGCACCCTGGCAGATGCGCTGAAAACTGCACTTTTGAATGCAGCTTGCCTTGGAACGCCTGAACGCGAATGGCCGGAAAATTGCATTTTCCTAAGCTTAGAGGTATGAAAAGAAGTTCCCTGTGGATCACAAAGTACAACTGGTAGTCGTCGAGTGCCTACCATGCCTTACGCGCTTGCCATTAGAAGTGCCGCACAACTGGCTCCTAGCTAGACCCAATGCTTCAATTCATCCTACATGTTCTGGACATTGGCCTGCTGCCCCCAATTCAGCGTCACAACGAAGTTGGAAGATTGTAGAGCGATCCCAGGCCTTTGCCAAAGAGTAAGCCATCCGCCAGCTGGCCCAAATTATCAAGTGGTCCCCCATAGCGATTATAACTGAGCTGGCTAATTTCTAAACATATTTACAAATTACTTTGGCCTTATACATGTTCATTTATTCAATGGCTTTTAGAAATTCATATTATCTACCCCATGAACTGCTTACATCGACCAGCTACCATGCTTGCCTGACTTTCTGCAAGTATCTCTAGCCTCTCGCGTTTCGAACAGATCTCGTACTAGATAGCACTCGGTTCGTTTCAGCATGGCACTCTTTCTGTGGTAAATTTTGCAGTTCTGTTCAAAGGAACCCCAAGCTGGTACACTATATACTTCAGCAACATCGAACAGAGGTTTACTGTTGATCTGCAACGTCAGTTGCCGTTCCAGCAGTTGGGGGACGGTTCTAAGCGCGGCTATGAGGTGTTTGTGGCCACGATCGAGTCACTGGTTTGGATCACAAGATCATTTACGTGGCAGCTGCGTTCCGTGACAATTCAGATGTGCAATGCACAGCGAGAAGTTCATGAAGTGACTCTATTCTTCGACACGCTATGGCTGTATTTCAAAACGGCCTCTTTAAACTGTGAAGTTGCCCTTTGTTGCAAAGTCGAAAGCACGGTCGGTCAGTGACCGTCGGCGCTCCTGGTGTCCATCCCACCTGATCAGGGCTAACATTCTTTTGGGAAATAGAGGAACAACTCTTAAGTACTAACAGTACTGTTAAGTACTAATTGTACATTTGTAGTGCAAATTCTATTGACCATTAACCCGGGAATTTTAGCGACAACAAGTTCTATCGACAGCCTGGTGGCAACACTCACCAGCTGCATGACATCAAAACAGTCAGCTACACAGTCAAAGGCCCCTTTGTTGGGGCAAAATAGACGGAAAGTCTCATGTAATGTGTTGATTAATACTCGGTTGTTTTTGTACGAAATCTGTTGTTGGTGGCCTACCCATGGGCGCGCCTTTTTGGCCATGCCCAATGGGACAGTGTAGCGGTGCCCCAATTATACTAGCGAACATGGCAATTGCATTCAACAAGTTGTTGTTCTCTGCAGCACGAACTGGGGGACCTGCTTATATGGGCTGTCAGAAGCACTGAACACCTGAGTCACGAGACAGTAGCAACAGTGGGCTTGCTGAGAGGATTCGGTTTTCAATGCAAAGAGATGCGACAAGTGCAGTGGAAGGCTACCAATTTAACCTGTGCACACCCCATGACATATGGCAGTGCTTGCAAATGTGTTTTCTTGTTAGACAAAGTTCTAAATGGACGCTGTTGACAAGGATGAGAGGAACACCATCGTACTATCACAAAAATATAAAGACTGTTTGGCAAAACTGTGCTTAACTTTGCCTCCAGTGTGCTGCCATGTAGTAGCAAAGCAAATCAGCACACAAGTGAAAGCGTGCAGCCACCATTGTCACATACTCTATTGGGAGATCCTCACGGCAACAGTGCCCACACGCGCACATGCCCAAAACTTGTTCAATGGATGCGAGATCCTAGTTCCACACAACCTCGCCCTCACTGCCATCGACTCCCCCGCAGATGAAAAACTCCCTCATGTACCACATTGCCGCAGCCCCTCATCGTTATCAGTTCGGAACCGTCTCACAGTCTGCTACTGTGCAATACTTGGGCACTTTGTATCCTCGATCTGCACATTGACACTGGATGCCAGTGGACAGGCATCATCTCAAGTTCTCCTTTTGCTGTGAGTGCTCTTCAACAAAGACCTTCCTAACTCTTTCTCGTGTGACCTCAAACCTCTCACTCTCTTCTATTTTTCTTGTCTTGTTCACCTGCCTGGCAATCGGCAAAAGACTGACAGTGATGTGCTGGGGATTCATGCTCTGGAGTGAATGTGGCAATGTGTTCCAAATTGTCTAGATGACAAGAATGATATAGCTTGGCAGGGCAGACTAGTAACTATCACATTTGCGCCAGGATGATAAACTTGATCGCTTTTACCTGACCACTGCCTCTGGACACATATGGACCATGCTCATGGTCCTGGGCTCAACTTCAACTGCTTCGTCCAGCAGAACCACTTGCCATTACTACTGTGTCGCTTGCTGACGTTTGGAGCAAATGGATCCATTCAATCATTCAACTTTCAAACATGCACATTTTGAATTGAGCGCTAGCAGCCTGCCAGCAAAACATGCAAATGAAGTCTCTGTTCATCACCTGTTGATCACTTTCTCCTCCTTGAAACACCTGTCCAGCGCCCGCTTCGCATCATTGCAGACACCCCAGAACTTAGCTACAGGGTGCTGTTTGTGACACCTGACGAGGTTGAGGATGACCTAGAAGGGCGACAGGAACTGGCCGTCATATCAGTCGTCGCCCGCGGCAATCAAAACATTCTCTCAACGGCGTCAACAACCAGTCGCGCATTGAGCTTGCCCATCTCATCGACAACGATCAGTGGCTCGTGCCCATTAACGACGGAAGATGTTCAAGAAGCCGTTGACAAGGAGGAGCGCAAAGGGCGCAGGTTGCGTAAAGATGCCGTGCAACGTGCACAATTCCATTCGCCAAAGAGTGTCCGAACTATCCACCCCATAAGCCGGACCGGTGAGCATATCGGCTCAGGACGCAAACACAATAGCAAAGTACCCACGAATTGCTTCGCTTTCAGTGGCCTGCAGCCCCGCGAAACATGCGGCCCTTCCCCAACACGAGAAAAAAGACACGGTTCCCCAGCACCGCCTCCCGATGGCGGTTCCCCGCGCTGTGAGTCCGATCGGACAGCTGTCGCGCAGGGCCGGCTGACCGCCTCACCTCACGGCAGTGCGGGTGCTTGTTCAGATGCAGCGGAGGATGCATCAACTCACCCTCCGCAGGGTGGCACCCAGCCCCAACACTTTCTGCCCCTGTCTTTGCCTTGCCAGCCACTCTGCTGCCGTCGACAATCCCGAACTCGTTGTGGCTCCCTGGTGACGCACCACTCGCGTCTTCAATCAGCCATGGGCAATACAATCATATGTCCAGTACATTGGTACGTTGGTGTTATGTACTGAATGGACATTGGTGTTGTTTACCATATTTCTAGCACATTGGTGTAATGTACCGTATGTCCAATATATTGGTGTTGTGTTATGATAATGGTGTTATATATTGGTGTTGTGGTTTGGTATCATCCCAGCAAGTGTAGTCCTTTGTACCATATCAATGTACGACGCATCCGTTGATATGGTATGACGCTCTGCATTGCATTGCTCTCCTGCCCAGATGCCACAATAGGCGTTCGAATTCTGGGGTCATGTCCCTCGCGCCTTTCACAATGAATACTCAGCGTGCTTTCCGCTTTTCAGCAGCACTTAGCGCTTGGCCACGCCAAATCCTGAATATCCATCGGTGTGGCGAAACCCAGTCAGTCGCAATATGTTGCTCATGAGCCAGCCATTGTGTGACGTTGCGTAATGGCTGGTGGCGAATATCACAGTACACATGATTTTCTCGACACTGCCACCAACAACTACAACTGCAGTTGTGAAACATACATGATAGTATAGGAAACACGGATTTGTAACGAATTTGCAGCTGTTGCAGAGGTGCTCGATCATGATATTGCAGACTCTTGGCACCCAGATTCTATGGGACAGATGAGAGACTCAGGACAACAGTAGGAGCAAGGTGGCTGATGATCAGGCGTTTTCAATTGAATGATTGATTGATGATTGGTTGACTGGTAGATGCCATCCACATTAGCAGCACAACAAGTTTGTGCTTGTGGCACAGTTGCCTCGCCACTGCACATCGACTTGTGCCAACACACCGTGCTCCCAAGACTTCAGAAACCGAGGAGCAGACAATGCCTGAACATTCAACACACCAGAATCAGCGCCACCGCGCCTGTAAAACATGCAAGTGCCGTTGCATAAATAATCCCCGTATCCTTGTCCTTGGCCAACGGCCCAATCCCTAGAAATAAGCTCAGACGCAGTGCTCAGCTGAATCCCCAGTCGCCAAAATGGTTTACTCTGTGTTGGCGCATCGCCGCCCATGAATCGAAATTCCTCGATGGCCGCCAATGGACAGCCGTTTCCGGCAAAACCTGTGCACAACTCCTCTCTGCATCCCCAAGCCGGCATTCCCAACTCCACGCTCCCCATTCCGATGACGACATCCTGGAACCCACAATTTGTGGAGCCCAGCGGGTTCCACAAACATGCTGTTTGAACATCGTTCAACATCGTGAACATGATGTTTGAACATCGTTTTGGGGAATGGTGGGACAGTGCTCAGTGCTACATTGTACTATGTTGTACCACAAATTTTTGAAGGATTTACAGCCTTCTGTCCGTGCCACACGCCTATTACGTGGGCTGGTATCCTGCGCCGCAAAATCGTATCACCAAACAGAGTCCCTGTCCACCCTCTTCATTACTTCACTCTCAACCATTCCTTCGTCTCCTTCCAGAGCAGCATGCTCTTTGTCTGTGTGGGACATGCGCGGGGCTATCAGGCATCAACATTCGTCCTTGCGTGCGCCCTGCACAGGCTACACATAGACATCTCTGTTCTCTCGGAAGCCCATGCGCTTCTTGTGCTCCTTGACCTTGAACTGTAGGATGGTGTTGAAGAGGTCTGCAGTGAGAGTGGCGTCGCGCGTGCCATACACCGCCGCTTGTACGCTGGCCATGAATTTGGCTAGCTCACGACCTGAACAGCCCATGAATCGTCAAAAATATGAAAGGCGTCGTGCGCCGCAGATACATGGTGTTCGGCCATTGTCCCAACGCCGTGTCGAAATTGTGAGCACCACACAGTTTTCGCTTGTGATCCCCTTTCAGACACGGTGAGCAACAAAGGACACAAACCAGATCGCTGTGGAATCGCCAAAATTTTGTGGCTATCAGGAGTGCCCATCATCACCAACAATGTGCAAAAGGGCAGTGATTTGCATGCTCTTGCAAGTGTGATCAACGGAACGTACAATGGCAGGCATGAAGCTCACATCTGTGCAGGAGGGCACCCCTTCGTATCTGCGTACAGGATGTCCATGTTGGGGCATTTGTTCACATGCATGGATTTGCTTTCCTCAAAGTTGCAAGTCACCTTGTATGGGGTGCGGTTAGAAGCTGACCAAAGTTGATGGGGCGGGTGTGCCTATGCTTGATACACTGACGAGGCAACGTTCAATGCTTGTGTAGACTAATGCAAGCACAGCAAGGGACAATGGCATGTTTTGTACATGCGTCAGGCAACCACTCTTTCGCCAGGTGTGGGCTTTGTAAATCAGCCCAGCAGATGGAGGCCACTGAAGAAAATCAGCACCGGTACCATGGCCAAAAGGAACCGAGGGATGCATGGCCTGGCGCATGCGACGCACCGGGCAGACTGTGAAGAATGTCAATCTACTTCCCTTTTCTGAATCAGAGTGCCAGAGAACGAAAGGAGTTCATGGGGTGCCCTCGCTGCATGGAGATTACTAGAAGGGACACAGGTGAGCACAACAAGGGGAGCGTTTGTGCACATTCGCCACTTTCCTGCTTATGAGCAGGACTGCGAACCATTTGAGAAGATACTCACAAGTTCAAGCAACAACCCTCAAACCAGAACATGTGCATAATGGACTGAAATTACCAACTGTACATGCCTGTACCTGTACCATTTGTACAATTCTAGCTATATCTCAACATATTACAGTGACTGCCCAGCACAGCTGCTGATCCAGTTGGCAGTATTCCACAACACACAATGTTCAAACTGCAGCGTGGCCTGGCGCATTCCCCAGAACAGTCTCTGTTAACGGATGCCCAAATGCCTTGAGAGCTTTATGATGTACATGGACAAGTCATTCGAGTTCATTTCACCAATTGTGACAAAGCAGTGACTTTACACCCACAGACAAAGACAAGCACGATTCCACCAACAGTGCTTGTTCCACAATGCCTGTTCATTTCCTGGTTGCAGGTGCAGCAGCTACACCATGTGGCAGTGAACTGCACCTGAAAACCCTTCTGTGGCGTTCGCCGCTTCCCACAACAAGGGCTCAGTCATTTCATGCAGTCGGATCCTGTCAGTGACTGCCTTCCTTCCTCCAAAGAGCGACAAAAACCGCCGCCTCAACCGCGCAGACCACACCCCGTCGTCCTGCCAGGCCTAAGCACAGTGACACAAAGCACCAATACAACCAAGATCAAATACCACCAATGAAGAGCTCACAACTGCAATTCCACAATTACCAATTCAGCGCACATATACTGCATCCAAATGTCGATTGGTGAATGGTGGGAACTGCCATCCCAGCAGGTGGCCTCGTTGACCTGCGCCCTGTAGTCATGAACATTCTGAATATCTGCCGCACACCTGCCCGGTTGCTTCATGGTAAGCAATGAAACTATTGCAGGTACAACATGGACACAGGCACAGCCCACTGTGAGCTTGCATAAATGGCATCTTTCCCTGACAAGCTAGTTCAAATACAACGCTCCTTACAGTTTGCACCAATTTTGCACACCTCAACTTGAACCACACCCTGTACCCACCTGCAGAATGTACTGCTTGAGATACACATCCAGGATCTCTTTGCGTTCCCTGGCTGACGGAAGTGGAAACTCTAACACCTCGTCGATACGGTCCAGAACAGCAGAATCCAGGTCACCTGCATGGCACACATACAGGGCGTTGGTGGCTGCAGAGCAGTTACTCACGTGTCCTTGGCATACTACAGTGCACCAAATGTGTGACCTGGATTCAAACTCGGCAAAAATGTTCCCAAACAAGCATGTCAGATGCACCTTGATGCGCAATGCATTGTTGGCGTGCTGAGATGAACTGCCGCTGACACACGCTCAGCAAAATAAAGATTGTGCAAGGAACTTGTGTTGCCTTCCTCTCAAGATACGCAAGGCCCGACATGCATTGTTTTGAACAGCGCAGTGGTCAGAGTTTGATGCACATGCTCCACACAAAGTCGCAGAACTTGTAGCACAGCTTGGAAACTACGCCATTGAACTGGCCGCCAGCACAGCAGCCCACCTGGTCTGTTTGTGGCCAGCACTACCAAGAAATCTTTCGACTGGTCCCCCGTCCTGAAGAGCATCGCATTCAGCGCCCCCCGTAGGCCCTCGCTCATCACGTCACTCCGCCGTCCAAGGAATGCATCCGCCTCATCAATGAACAGCAGCAGGCCCTTGCGGCTACGCTCTGCCCAGTCAAACACAGAGTGAAGCTGGGTGACTGCAGCCCCAGCCAGGGGTGCCACGTCGCCCCCACTCATGACGGCATAGTCCAGGCCAGATGTGTGCGCCAGTCGCCTTGCCACAAGGGTCTTGCCAGTGCCAGGAGGTCCTGTCAAGCGTTGGAACTGAAGCCGTTCAGTGAGTGTCTGGCTGATTATATCTGCCACAATATGATGACCACTGCAACTGCACCCTACAGGGTGACAGCTGGGTGATGAACGCCCTCAGTCACAGTGAGCTCAAAGCAACAGAGAGAAATGCCAAGGAGCACTGTCTTGTGCTTTGTGAAAGGCAGAGGGAAACCAAAACGAAATCTACAACCAACAGCGACAGTTCTTTGTGATGGCTGTTGTAGCACACACACTCTTGCACCCCAGCACCAACTCAGGAAACAGCAAATGGCACAAAAGACATAATAGTCTGCTGCTGGAATCTGTTGGTGACAGTGCAATCAGCCATTACCATCCAATGCTGTGCTGACAATGTTGTGCCTTTGGAACCTTTTTCTGACACATTCTTATAATCCATTGGATGTATTGTGTCCTTGCCTGTAAGGTGCGAATCCTATCCATCAGTGTTCCTCTCTATCGTGACTTCAATCCCACGGGCCAAAATTGTGCCACTCATGAGGTCAACAATGCACACAAGCAAATCTGCATTTCCGACAGTATGTCAAGAATAAGCTAAGGCAGCTTGAAGGATACGTTGGCAGGGCACAGCTACGGAAACTCTCTGTGTCTTCCAAGGTGGCTCACACCCACGTGAAGCATACTGATGTATTCAATAGTTGGAGATTGACTGTAAGTTATGAATCAGATTGACCCACGGGCATGGATGCACAACATGGTTCAAAACGTCCGGGGAAAGTCCACACCACATTGGCAAGCAGATGGGGGTTGACCCGTCGATGACGGGCCAACCAGGGCAAACAGGTACGTGCATGTGCCACACCAGTCCCACGGCGTGTCTGTCAGACCGCCCTGCAATGAGAAGGCCCCCGGGCTGCACACCACCTACAAAACTGTGGTGTAAGGGGTGAGGCAGTGATCAGGCGGTTGCAGCACCATAGAAAAGCATGTGGCGGAACGGCGCCCCGTGGCGCTTTGTGTTGGATGTGACTGCGGCAAGGGCACGGATGTGGTCATGCAGCTGGGCTGGCAGGATGATGTCGCGGAAGTCCCTGCGGACGTCTGCCGCCGACTTGCTGCCTGAGCGTACCCAAAACTGCCAGGTCCATAGGTGCCGCCTTGAAGTGTCACGGATCTGCAACCACCCAACGAGCATGGCAGATCAGGATGCAGACATCAGGGAAGAAACACGGGTTATGGATGTGCATATGCCCAACAGTGGCAGCAAAGGTGTAGGACCACAGTTGTCCAGGTATGATGATCACAACGATAGAGGAGATGGGGAGAAGAACTGGTAGGGAAGTGACAAAAGTTACTGCAAACATTGAGAATGACCTGGTTCGGAAGGTGAGTTGGCAAGCAGATAGTCAAGCGCAAAAGGTGGCAAAGCGCAATGGAACAACGGCGACAGGAGGGACACAATGGAGACACATGATGCATCTCCTGGGGAAGTTGCAAACAGCAATATGATGCACACACAAAGAGCCCTCATGACCAGGTTTTCTACCAAATTTCAAGATAAAGAATCCAAGCATGTTACAGGTGCCACCATCGTGCCTTGCACAAAATGTGAAACCCACCAATTTGGGAGTCCCTAGCCAGCGCTCAACAGTCTTGCCCACAACTCGGGATGCCTCTCGGGTGCTAAAAAAACCAAGTAGCAGCAGGCTGCTGAGGCCTGCAGTGCGTAACAACAGTTCCCCATCCGTCACCATTGCCAACGCCCCCCTCCCCATGTGACCAAAAGCCTCTCCAATCGCCTGAATGACCATCTTTGTGCGCTCTTGGTAGCGCAGGACCGTCTGCCTGCGTATGATGTCCTCATTCGCTCGCTGCTCCTTTATTCGGCCCTCTGCTTCCGCAAGGGCTCTGTCACGCTGGATCTCTTTCTCCAACTCAGCCTGAACATCATAAAATGAGTTTGGATGAACAAAGAGCAGCCAAAAAGACTTGCAGCAATTGTACAGCAATAGAATCCGAACTTGACAGATATAGAATGCCCTTGTGCAGACATCTATGCAACTAGCGCAAACGGGCAGGTGGTAATGGCAAGTTAAGGGAAAGGATGTGGGCCCATAAGGCACAACCGATCTCTTAACTGTTGGCAATTGGAGCTATTGCACTTATAGTTGCAGAGGATTCCAGGAGATTTGGGCTCCAAGAGAATTGCATACAGTTGGGCAGCCTCAAAATTGGAGAGCACTGTCTTCACCCACAAGTCCGAGAGCATTAGGCAGTTAATCTCATTGGCCACACTTGCGCATAGTCAAGAACTCCACACTGACGATGCTGCGCCATAGGCACTAAAGCAGTGCAAGTTTTGTTCAATGCACTTTGGCAAATAGTTGTTGATGCAGATATCCCCCCTCCACAGTACTGCTCCTACTACGGCTGCAACTGCACCAGCACTATCCAATATCATGGGCCTCATAAGAACTTTCAAAAAAATCAATCTTAACAGTCATTGAGAAGCCAGGTAAGATATCATCATTGGCCCAAGCACACCTCACCAAACAGAAACTGCTAGTGGATGCTGGCACTGCAGTGTGCCATTCAGAAACCTAGGGAAGCCCAAGTTTCAATGCAATTCAGTCCATACAAAAGGTGACAATAAACGTACTTGGGAAACTAACAAATGTGCAACGGGCCTCATAATGTGGGAAAAGGTCAAGTCATCTTGATCACAATCCTTGTGAGAACATATCACTGGCCCTTGCAACGCATCGAACGAACAGCATTCTGCCCAAACCCACACTGCAGCAATGCTTCAGCGATGGACCAGGGGTGAAGTCATATACAACTGGGAGAGGTGTTGGTGGCAACCTGCTTTATGTCTGTCCAATTGTCTCCCCTATCCTTGCCACACGAATCAGAGCAGACTGCCTCTGAGATCCTCTGTGCCCTCCCCCTCCCAGACTCTTTGCCACAGGACTAAGTCAGACAGGTGCATCTACAGACAATCTAACAAGTGAGCTATGGCATTCTGCCACCAAAAATTGGCACACGACCTGATGCCCACTGCCTCTAGTCACAAACACATGACAGTCTGCCCATGCCTAATGATGCCCACAACATCAACCTGACCACATTCAGTGACCAGCCAGACAGGACTAATTGGTCTGTGCATGACCAATTCTTGCTTATCTGAATCGCATCCTGGAGTGCCAGAAACTGCAGCAAGCCAGGCACACTGACATGGGCTGTACTGCCAACCCTGGTGACCATCTGCCAAAGAAGCCACAGCCCTCAAAGCTCATTTGGACCTTGGTAGCAATGGCACAAAACAAAAATCAAATTGACTGTTCCAAAGTTGACATCGTGGACTAATAACCATCCATCGAACAAGGACACTGGACAAACTCCGGATACAACAGCTGTTCCCCATGTCTTGTGACCATCTGCTACAGCAACTTCAACCACAACACAACAAGGCAGCCACAAGCAAGACAAATCACATTTGCCTCTTTCCACCAGCCAAAGGTGCCTCCCACCCATGAGCCCCTGCTCATCCTCCTGTGACCAAAACCCACGCAGTTCTGCCGATTGCCCACTTTACAAGCCAGAGATCCAGAAAATTTGCGGTGTTGGGCAGCCTCAAAATTGCAGACCAGTGTCCTCACCCAGAAGTCAGAGAAGCACAGCAACAATTCTTTCAAAAACCATACCACCAAGTGCCTGACACGATGCGAGCACTCTGTTTGGCACAACACTGTTGTGAGGATACATTCGCACATTTGTTTGTGACTGAAGGTCCCAAGCCAACATTACTGCTGCTCCCAGTGTTGGCACAACAGCCGCAGCAACTAATCCCCATTCCCATCGACTTGAACAAGTCGTTGGCCTGGACATGAGTACCGAGACGCTCAAGCTGATCATGATCGCAATCAAGAAAATGGTACGTCAATGGTCCTCGGTTGCAATCAAAGAAAAGTTACATCACTAGGCCTGTCACACCTGGTGAACACAACTGAAATCATTCTTGGCCTCCCTCAGTACACAAGACTGGAATTCTAAGGAGTGCAATGCACTACAGAAAACATCCTCCACCATCAACCACTGATACAATTCTGGCGAGCCTCAATACCCTCCCATCCTGCCAACTTTTGTTGCAGGCCAACTGTACTGTTTCCTGCTCCATGAGTGTGTGTTTTACTATCCAACAGCTGCAACAGTGCGTGGGCAGTGCTTGTTGACTTTAGGATACAATAAATTGAAGGTGATTTTGCCAAGGGCAACACAAGAACTGAGCCTAGACCAACATTCACCTGCGTTGAATATATGCAATGTGTGGTTCAGTGTCCCTCTCGTATCTCTACTGTACCAGGCCTGCGTTCGCTGTTGACAATATGCCCACATCCTTCTCCAACAGTTTCAAATCAAGCTCGAACCATAGCAAATGACCACATCAGCACTGCTCCATGTGTCAATTCGAGACCAAATCATTCAATTCTGTAATCCAAGTTTGCTTCAGGTGCCACAAGCACAGAGATGCTGTAATGCTCACACCCACTTTGTACTGCTCTGCTGCCCGCCGTTCCGCCTGGATCTGTTGCTCCACCCGCAGCTTCTCCTGCTCCTGTGCCTGCACCGACTCCTCCTGCATGTGCACCAACTCTGCATTGCGCTTCCTCTGCAGCTCGTGCTCACTCTTCATCCTCTGCCGGGCCAGCTCGTCTTCATATCGCTTTATTTCAGCAAGTTGCTGCGCATTTTCACGCTGGCTTGTGCGCTGCTCATCCCACTTGATGCGTTCTTGCTCCTGCAAATGGAAGTGTTCATTTATCAAATCCGTCAAAACATCAAAATACCACCATTGCACCTGTTGGTCCACATCTGGCTTTCTGCTGATGCAGATAAAAACTGCTGCTCAGACAAAGGGCAATGATTTGCAATGAAACCACAAACACATTGGAAGCACAGCATCACAAAATCGAGAAGGCCATACACTGCTGCCAAATGCATTATGAGACGGGGCCATGATGGATGGCACATGTATGACATGAAGGCAGCAAGACACGTCACGACCCTGAAAATGGACCAACGCTGCTTCATCAAAATGTCAGCCCCCTAATGCAGGGCCATGGAGGTGCCACAGAAAATGACGCCTCCCAGCTGGAGCATTCACAAGGACAGCCCCCTTCCCAAAAAATCAAAAACCAACCCCTGCCTCCCTCAATCCAATGCTCCCACCTTGGCGAGAGACACTGCCTGTGCCTTGAACTCTGATTCCTTCGTCTTCAGCTCCTGTGTTCGTGTCAGCTCCTCTAACCTCAGCTGTTCGAATATCTGGTGCGCAAGACACATTTTGTTACAATAATCGACGTCTAACTGACAAAGTCACTGAAAAGATTATCTGTCACTGAGCTGGGAAAAGAAGGTGGCTGGCCACACAGATAGCAGTCAATGTAAGGGGAGAAATATGCATTTTCTTTCAGCTTGCGATCACCCGCAAGTGGAAAAATGATCAGCTACTGCAGGAGGTCCCCAACTGTATTGTTTATCCAGTATGGCGATCCACCCACATCTCACATATCAGACACTGAAGGACTTCAGTGTGCGCCAAGCTGCCCGAAATCTGCCCATCTTACAACATGCGCCATGCATTCAACATCAAGGGTGGGTCCCAGGGCAGGCCAGGGAACAAACGCCCCAGATCTATCCCCCTGATCTGTCCACCAGATGGCAACCTGCACCACACTTCGACGCCATGCAGACTGCCCAGTTGCAGAAGGCACAGATGTGAAAAAGAAGGAAAATTCCTGACAACAGACAGCACCCTTCGGCATGGAACCCCAGCCCACAGAGCTCCACCCTCCAAACTACCGTCTCCCAGTGCGCTGATCGATATCCATCCACCAAACACAGCCATCAATCGCCAAGTACCCACAACAACATGATTTGTGGCCCTTGTGCATTGTGCTCCTTATGTCGTGCTGGAGACACTACATCATCTTCTCACAGCACGGAACTGCTTCCCACACACAACTCCTCAGGATGGGGCGCTCTCTGCTGAATTGTTTCTCTTTTTCTTTGCAACAAATCTCACCCACGACGCTACCGCCCATCAAAAGCCCATTGCCCAGGAGGGGTACCCTTTGTACGATATTTAAAAAGAAAAGGAACAAGGTATGCCTTTCTCTTTGTGACAAATCTCACCCGTCAATGGCTATCCCCTGCCATCCCAGATCCCCATCCCCTCCAGTTTGCTTGTGCAAATACAAGCGTGGCCTCCCCAAATGCATGGAGCCCTGTTCTAATATGTGCTTCAAGCAACAAATAAAGGCATGTCCTACACACCACGCAGCCCAAACTTCCGCGTGCATCAAATCTATGGCAGAGCTGCAGCTCTCCCATCACCATTTTGAATCATGCAAACCCGCTCCCACCTTCTGATCAGTCACAATTACAATGGCAGCACAGCACCTCGAGGCAAGTGCCTATGACCAAAGGCCCTTCGGAACGAACGATTTCAATTTCCTTGAGTGCAATCACGACGGCAACTCAACACCTTGGGGCAAGTGCCCATATATAACCAAAGCCCCATTGAATCGAACGTTTTCAACATCATCGAGCGCACCTTCTTCGAGTTGGACTGCGAGTTTATGTCTCGCAGCGCCTTCGCCGCCCGCTCCCACGCCTCCGGATCCAAATACGGCGGTGGGTCCTTGTCGCACAGCACCACGCCGGCGCCGCCCGATGCGGCGGCCGCCAATGCCGCGGCGCCGCCCAGCCGGCACACCCACAGCCTGGCGGCCATTGCCGACGGGCGGCGGGAGGCAAAGACCAAGGTGGGGGTCCGCGGTGGCCTGGGCGGGTCTCTTAGGGAGGGGAAGGGGGTGGGCGGGGCGGCGGCGGGCCTCAGGCTGCCATCGCACGGCCCTCGCACACACACCAGCCAATTCAATTGGCTGTGAGCTTGGTAGTTAGCACTACTGAATACTTAATGATGCTTGATGCTTAATTCTTCGTACTTAATGCTCCATAATACTTAATGCATAATACTCTACAGTAGGGTCCCTATATGGCGCGCCCCCAACAGCGCCCCCGGCCCACAATGGCGCCCCCTTTTTTGGCTTGTCACCTTTTCTGTAGTACTTTATGCAGCGTTGTTGCGCAGTGGGACCTGCACCCCCTACACAGGCAACCAAGGTACCCCCTACACGGGCGGCAAGGGTACCCCCTACACGGTAGGCCAGGATACCCCCTACACAGGTGGCTAGGGTACCACTACACTGGCTGCTAGGGTACCCCCTTCACCAGCGGCCATGGTACCTTCAGTAGTACTTTATGCAGCGTTGTTGCGCAGTGGGAACTGCACCCCCTAAACAGGCGACCAAGGTACCCCCTACACGGGCGGCAAGGGTACCCCCTACACGGGAGGCCAGGATACCCCCTGCACAGGTGGCTAGGGTACCACTACACTGGCTGCTAGGGTACCCCTTTCACCAGCGGCCGTGGTACCACCTACATTGGCAGCTTAGTGTACTCCCTACACCGGCGACCAGGGTGCCCTTTACACTGGCTGCTTAGATAGAAACTTTATATGGAGACACCTACTGTAGTATGTTGCGACAGCCCAGTCATGCAATGGACAATGTTCATTTGCTTGTCATGACAATTTTTATCGTCAAGTTATGTCGACCTGTTAATTACCACTGACATTAGCAAACCAGAACCACGGTATATTAATTGGAACAATTAGGTTAAATAGAGTCAACAATATTAATGGTGATATTAGCAATTAGTTGTGGGCTGCATGGCGAAACGAGCCACATGTGGGAGATGGAACCCGCGCACCACATCTAGGGGAAATGGGAAGAAAAAAATGGCCAGCGGGAGGAGGGCAAGATGGACGTGAGATGGCGTGGGGGACTGACATGGTCGCGGCCGCTGGGCTCTGGCCAATTATATGCTGCCCGCCCGAAGCGCAGAAAATGGAGAATACACAACACTGCACTCCGCCAGCCTTTTCCCTCACCCCCCGCTTCCCAGTACTTTTAACGTGCTGGGAACCTTAATAGGTACTGGGGTGCCTTTAAATCTCGGGGGGCCTTGCCCACCCGTTTATAGACTTCCTTCTTTGCGTTAACTCGGGTAAGGAGGGCACACTCGGGGCGCCTGACCATCTACTCTAAAACTGCAGAACACATACGCAGAATCTCTGCACTTTTAACACCTTTGAGTGCCGTCACACCAGTTTGCCAATTGTCTCTCCTTACATTAAAATTCAAGCGAAAAACGAGATAGCCACACACTCGTTTCGCCAACCTTTAGTCCCAAGTTCCCCGTTTGCACGGATCGTCTCGAAACTGCGTTCCCAGCCGTGCAAAACTGTGCTTAGTTCGGTTTCCTGGACTTTATCACCAACCGCGCCTGAAACAAGGGTCGCTGCCCATAAGCTAGCCACAACTTTAAGAGTTGCGCCAAACACTTTCTCACTGAGCCAGTCATACCCAGTTTGCGTAGCGGCAGCGCCATTCACACCGAATCCAAGTGTGCCCACAACGGACACTCCCGTTGGCCGTCCAAATTTGCCTCCCAACGGCCCTAATCCCGATTTAAACACATTCACTCCGTTACATTCCGTCAATTCTGCTTAAAGGTATTGGGTTGCCTTCACAAGGTTTTTAGGCTTTGGGGTGCGCCAACTGTGGCAGAGACCCCTCGCCAAACGACCGGGCGATTTCCCCCTTCGTCATCCGCAAATGGCTGCACAAAAACTGGCAGGAAAGTTGCCGAAAAAGTGCCGCCGCGTAACACGCGTAACACACGTAACACACGTAACACGCGTAACACCCAAGCTCCACACGGCGCAAACGCTGGGCGCGCCATTCCGCCGTGCACCGCGTTCCCTCCAAACCGCCACGCCTGGCGCCTTCCTCCACGCAGGCCAATCCCAACCTCACGTGCGCCACAGGCGGCTTTTTTCGCGATGGCGCCCACCAGCGGATCGCTCCAAAAAATATGCTGCCGTCAAACCGGGGCGGCGCTCTGGGCCCTGGCCCTGCTCCTCTTGGTGCGCCCGCTGCCCGCGCTGGCCGAATCCACAGCCTTCCTGCTCCACGGGAAGAAGTACAACTGCATGGGCCAGCCGTACACGGTGAGTGTCGCGCTGTTGGCCTCCGGGCGCGCGACGACTGCCGCCACGCCGCGCTGCCAATCCGCAAAGACGTCGCAGGCGGGGAGGGAGAACATTCTCCCCCCGTTCTCTGTCGCCTGAATCTTGGCATCAGTTTTTCTCGGATCTGATTTTGGATTCTAACTTGTCTGTGGAACTTATCGTGTCTTTGGATGTCCTGGATCACTTCGAAGATTGTTTTGGATTTTGTCTTTACTCTGGATCTTATCCTATCTGCGCATCTTTTAGATATCTTTCGAAGATTTTGTGGCGTTGTATCTTGTTTTGGATCTTATCCTGTCTTTGCATCTTTGGGATTCTTTTCCAAAGAATTTTTGTATCCTTGGAGTCGGAGTTGCGAGCGTGAGGAGCGGGGCTGTGTGGCCACAGGCTCGCGCGCCGGGGGGCTGGGCAGAGAAGGACAGGGAGCTGGTGCGGGTGAGGAACAACGACAGCAGGGATCCGTGCCTGATGGAGGGATCGCCATTTGTGGAGGAGGACCTCGAGGTGGTGAGTCGATCGGGGGCAAGGGGGTTTGGAGGCGTTGCAGGACATGATCAGCCATGCTGATGAATGCAGCCATCATAAGAAGTCGTTACAAGCCATTTTCAAGGGTTATTACAACTCATGGTCTTTCTGGGGAGTCAGTTTTAGGCATGCTCAGCCAATCTGCTGCCAGGGTAACTGTTTGCAAACAGGCCTTTGTCGCCCATTTTCGTTTCAGTGCTCCAATGAGCAGACTGTTCCAGAAGGATGGCGAGGGGATCTGGTGGATTGAGGCGTGCAGCACATGGGCTCATTCACAAAGGGGCGTGCGAGAACTATTCCTCAAGATTCTTGGCTTCGGCCGCGATGGCGAAGAGGGGTTGGGAAATTATGCGGCAGTGCAGGGGCTGCGTGCTTGCGAATAGAGTCACAGAGAGCCCCATTGTCATTTGTGTGGGAAATGCCCGAAAATGGGGTACGGGTGAGCAGCAAAGCAAAGGGGATATGGCAAGGCACAGAGACTGCATCAGAGGTCAAAACCAGCTCCCTGCCTTTTGACTGGGGAGATTGCCAGCCTCCACCATTTTGGATGGTTGCTGCACGAAAAGATCACCAAGAACGAATTCGCAAGGCTGGCAAGTGTTTTAGTGGCCTGTATGTCCACTGAGTTCTTGCCCATCCGGTTCCTCACGTGAATGTCCCAGCACACCAAGGCACGCTGATTCCCACAGCAATACATTTTGAGGCGTTTGGGGCAGTCCAGCAGAAGTCAGAGAAGTAACTGTGGTGCTGTGTGGATCCACAGCTGGAGACATTTGATTCTTATGAACAGAAACTTGGCCAATATTGGCTTGCTTCTTCTAATCAAAGGGCTCAAAAATAGACTGCGGTACAGTTTAATCCTGTTGAGCATGTAGCCTTGATGTGTTCCTGTATCACACTGTCAGCTGTGGTTCACCAGTTTGGCCACTGTCACCACTGTTGCAGTGGAGGTGAGTCCCTGAGGAGAGTTGCAAGTGGGTGCTTGTGCTGTGCATGTTGGCCCACGGATTTGCTGATGAGAAAGGAACAAGCTCTCTGGAGCAAGCCTTGGGACACCCTGGTTCATTGACTTGGCCCCTCTGCTGTCCTGTTAGGACAGAATTGCTGGGAAGATCGTTGTCGCCCAACTGTCCAAATGTACTGATGATGGGGATGGATTCAACCCCGTATCCCTGAGGTTCAAGATGTATGAGGAGGACTGCAAGCGGCGGCTGCGCCTCCTCAGCGAGTACAAGCCTGCAGGAGTGGTGTTGGGGGAGGCACACCCAGGGAAGCAGCCAGAATGGCACTGGTGGCCTTGGGAGCTGGAGATGCTTATTCAAACCGAGGTGCAGTTTTGTTCATTCCAGAATGACACATCCCATTTGAGATTCAGGGCAGTGTTCTGTCCCAATACAACAGATTCAGTCCTTCAGCTGCATTGCCAGGAACCATTCTGCCCTTTTCCTGCGGTGGTGATCTCCACAACGTTCACACTTCATCCATCGCCTGAATGGGGCTGCCCTGTTGTGCAGCTGCGAGCACCCTGTTGAGGTATGCACCCTGGGCTTATTCTTTAGTCATACAGGTGGCAACAGCACAGCCCTTGTGTGGGGTAGAGAACGAAGGAATGGATACAAGAAAAGTAAGGCATGTGTTCGATTCGATTCGGTTGTTGCATACATCAACAACATCGACGCCTCTGGGTCTTGTCACCTCAAAAGCTGGTGCAGAACAAGTACCGCTTTGGGATCTACTTCGAAGTATGCACTAAGCCACACACTCTTGCTTGGAGACTGTGCAGTGGGATGCTGCCATGTGTCCGAGGGGTGTCTAGATCCACTGGCAGGAAAATTTCTGTTGCACATTTTCGTGTTTGCTTGCGCTATACTGAGCTGCTAACCAACAAGGTGCTTTGGCGATGGCCTGCTTGCTGAAATGGGATGAACTTGTGTACACTTGACCATGGTTTAGCAACCTTTTATCTATATCTGTGCTGCATGACTGTATCCTTGTTCATAACTTTCTGAAATACAGTGTTACAGTTTCATGGTGCTGCTAGGAAACTCTGCTGCAACAGCATCAAACTCTAAGCATCACAAAAACTCCATAGCCACAGCTTCTACTGGCCAACTGCAAGGCTCTCGATTCAAGGGACAATGTTTCACCAGTTGTGCGTACTGGCAGATGCTCCTCGTTCAAGCTAGCATCTTGGTGTGGTGGCAAAAATGTTCCATTTTGCACGATTTCCAGACATGCATGACTGGATTTACTGGTGAAGGACTGCATCCAGGAAGGGTCCAAACTGCAACTGCATGTTTGCAGCCACTCATCAATACTACTATAGACACTCAGAGTTTCTTTTCAGCTCTGTGTACCATCAGGGCCTGCCCCCTCCAGTTTGTGTGATGGATGAATGGCAGTATACCAAGCTGGTGGGCAGGATGGACGAGATGGATGGCAGAGGTGCCGACTTCTCAGGGGCTATTCTCTACACCCAAGAGGACGAGCCATCACCATCTCCAGTCATCACCGATGTAGATGTAGGTTTCGAATAGTTGCGCACATCATCCAATGCTTTGTACTGTTCTTGCCCATGGCTGAACTATCCTTAGCCACATGCAAGTGGTGTCAGATGGTGTCAAAATAGTGTTGAACAATCAGCAAACGCCGTAGACCCTGCCTTGGTTTTGACTGCGTTTGTGTGGTTCAGATCCTGACATACAATGACAAAGATGAGCCCAAGGCCATCAACATTCCAGTTTCGACCTCACTGTTCAACCCCAAGGAGACTGACGAAATCGTGGCCCCAGTCAAGCTGTTCACTTTCCAGGTGCGCTCCGCATTGCATGGAACATCACAGGCATGGCTTCGTTCACTGGCAGTGAATGACTTCTTCATGAATGCATACATGCAACACATTCGCGATGCCCAGTGGTAAAGGCATGTGCCTGTGCATAGCTGCCTTTGCACAGCAAACTGTATGGTCTGTGCTGCACGCTCGCTGTCCTGCATGATACTGTTCGGATATCAGGTCAGTGGTGCCCTGTGGGCAGGTGTACTGGGAATGCTGTTGCCGTTGCATGAGATAAATGGAGGTCCAACAGTAACCAGCACTGTGGCTTGCATCATATGGCACTGGACATCCAGTATGCATGCCACAAGGAATGTCATGTGCGGATGGGGACAACATGCTGTCCCTACAGTCTCACTGGAGCATTGGAACGATCTCCTGCAGTGTGAAAGGGAACGTCAACCAGAATGTGTCTGGCGTTGACATAAAGTAGTGCCTTGAGAGCTTTACGGATGTCCGTTAGCAGATCAGTGAAATCGTTGATTACAAATGCCCAGTTTGATCAGCACCACCCTGTTGCCAGATGGACAGCCCTGAGGTCTGACATACAGGGGTCTGTGTGTATGAAATCTCTGGGACCCAAACAATAATTTCGAATCAAGCCACTAATAACTTTTAGAATCTGCTTTCGATGTGATGTTCGAGTATGGATGGTCTGTCATGCTGCCTTGGCTGTGATATCTCGACCAGTCATCCCTGCTGTGAATGAATGATTTCTAAATATGTATATATAGAAACCATACAGAAGGCGGAAATTTGTGCCACAAGGCTGCTGAATTTTGGTGCTGGCCCTGGTACTTTGATGCTCACTGCACAGCAAGCCAACTAAGAGCATGGCACGTCGGAGGCAGTGGAAAACTGCACAGAGCAGCACAGCGCGCAGGGCTGCTTTTCTGTACAAGCCTCGTTTGATCTCGCTCATGGCCCTTGCAGCTTCTGCAGGCTAAAAAATGGCAAAGGACACAAGGAGTTAGCCAGACATTGTCTCTAAATTGTATCCCAGCTGTGGCATTCCTGAAAAGCTCGAACAAGGTTCACGGAGGATGTTGTCCCCAGGATTCGTGCTACCTCCACACGGGCAGTGAAACTGCAAGCGCCAACTATTCAGAGTGTGTGAGTTGCTGGGACTCAAATGCGGTAGTGCCACTGACGGGCCACCGTGGCCCTGATGACTTGATGGTGGGTTCCTGTGCGGCTTGAGTTCTGGGAACCATCCGATAAATGTGCAATTGCTTTGTTCGCAAGTAGTACTGTGCAGTGCGCTGCTAGCACTCTGCATTAGAGCTATTCTGGCTGAAAGCTGTTTGTCTTGTGAAAGTGTGATTTTCTGTGTCTGCCGAAGCATCGTTTTCTATACAATTTACGCAAGCTGCTTCTGGCAATCACAGTGAATGATGCTCTGCGCTCTGCACACACCCTCCCCGTGGTGCAAAATGTCCTGGCTGCACATCACTTCCATACCGTAGTATATTCAACCCTTCCGCATAGTAACGTAAAGGTTGGCCTTTTTTTCCCTAGAAAACAATCAAATAAGCCACACTCTTTTAATAAAATTTTGGCAGGGCTACGTAAAAACCTAAAAATAAAGCTCTGGAAAACACATGCTGATCAAAAAGCGTAACGGTAAAAATTTTGATGCGGAAGGTTGAATACACTACGATACTGCAGACTGTATATGTTCTCCATGGCTAACCAGCATTCTAGGCTGTGTATACACAGAAAACTTCTATCCACGTTTTAACAGTGCTCGTTATAACGAATAACTGAAAACTTGCATTACCAGCGCACCACTGTCTCCATAAGTGCCATGGATGTGACATGTGAGAGGGAGCTGCGCATGTTCAGTGCAGGGCAAAGTAGCGCTATTCGACGTGAGGGAGGGCTATCCCATCTGCTACATGTGGGTCTACAACTTTGTGATGCTGGCACAAGACCATGGCGCTGTTGGAGCGATCTTGGGCCTGGGGAGCGACACGCAGCTTGTTATTGGAGGGCCATACCTGCTGTACGCAGATGTGAGTATCAGTGTGTTTTTTATTACATGACTAAATTACGTTCCTATTTTATTGCTTGCTTATCAGGTATTCCACCGATTGTTCAGGCCTTATTGCGTTTACTGCCATCTTTGTGATCACCTGTGGCAGTGCAGCAAGATCAGGGACAGAGTCGGTGGCATGCCTTGCGATCACGGGGTGGCCCTTGTTTCGTCTTAACTTCTGCCAATGCAGGGAACAATGTGGGAGTAGCGGCTGCCGTCATGATCCACCAGAAGCCAGGCACAGGAAATGGCCTTTTCGACCTTGGCCCTTATCGTTACCATAGTATGTTCAACCCCTCCGCATCACAAATCTTACTCTTACGCTTTTTGCTCGGCATTCTTCTTTTCAGAGCGTTGTTATGTTTGCTATGTTCCTCCGCTAAAATTTCGTTATTCTTCCTCCGCAGAAAAGGCCAAGCCTTACGTTAGTATGCGGAAGGCATGAATGTTTCACTGTACTGGCAATCATATGCTTGGCAAATCTGCATGCGGAATCACTGTTGGCAGTTTTCACTCACCTCTCCCTTTTGCCATACATTTCCGACCAGGTTGGTTGGATGTTCCTTCCGCAGTGTTTGGTGCGATGCAGCTGGTTGATGCACAGAACAAGATATTGGCATCTTGAACAGATGCTGCTGGGGCATTTTCCTTGAATATGTATGTTCTCACCATCGCCTGCATGGTGGAAGTCATTGTTTGATAGCTTTCTGGCAGCATGGAATCCACAGAAATGATGTCACTGCTTAGAAATGCAATCAAGGGATTTGCATGGGATAAGATTGACCGTTTCGAGGAATGTGAATCTGAATTGAAACCATACTGATGTGTTGTACATCATATGCCAGTAGTGTACAAAATGCTGAAACGGGACCAATGACCGCTATCACAAGAGTGTTGATGTAGCAGCTTGCTTCATATCTGCTGTTTCTGCCTTTTTATCAACCTCGCATCTTTTCCCTGGCAGGTTCACATTCCGATGTTTTCAGCGGGAGCCACGGCGACAGGCGCCCTGCTGCATGCGATGCAAGAAGTCCACAGCGCAGACCAGCAAGTCAAGGTCCGTCGCTGATACAAAGTTGCGCAATTTCATGTGAATGCGGCAAGCCGCACGCACTTCATATGGCATGATTGGACTTTCGATAGCCGTGTTGAAGCTGCAGAAAGCTCTTTGAAATTTTGCATTTTCGATACTTGGGGCAGTCTCTAATGTGTCTGGCAATGACGTCGGCGCGCTCAACAGCTCCAACCAGCGCAACCGAGCAATGACTGATGCCCATGAGCGCACGAATTTTTGGCTGACTGCTCCGTGTCTTCAGCCTGTACGCCGAACCTCAAAATCCGAGACTTGGACATTTGTCGCATAGCAGGTGTTTGGACAGCGTAGCTTTGACGGATAGAATCCTGGTGGGATTCATCCAGCCTCAGCAATTGTCCCTGCTCTGAACGTGCTTGGCCAAGACGCTGTAGGCTGTGCTGCGAAATACTCCCATTAACAGCTCATGTTGCCGTTCCTTTGTGTTCGGTGATCCCAAGGGCAAGTCCCATCACTGGCCCAGCAGATTTTCCCATTTCGTAATTGCGTGGTCTGCATTTAAACAGTGCCAAAAACTCCTTACTTCCTTAGCTCCTTAGTTCCTTACTCCTTAGTTCCTTAGTTCCTTAGCTCCCTACTTCGTTAGCTTCTTAGTTCCTTCTTCCTTACTTCCTTAGCTCCTTAGCTCCTTACTTCGTTAGCTTCTTACGTCCTTACCTCCTTACCTCCTTAGCCCCTTAGCCCCTTAGCCCCTTAGCCCCTTAGCCCCTTAGCCCCTTAGCCCCTTAACCCCTTAGCTCCTTAGCTACTTAGCCCCTTAGCTCCTTAGCTCCTTAGCCCCTTAGCCCCTTAGTTCCTTAGTTCCTTAGTTCCTTAGTTCCTTAGTTCCTTAGTTCCTTAGTTCCTTAGTTCCTTAGTTCCTTAGCTCCTTAGTTCCTTAGTTCCTTAGTTCCTTAGTTCCTTAGTTCCTTAGTTCCTTAGCTCTTTGTTCCTTAGTTCCTTAGTTCCTTAGTTCCTTAATTCCTTAGTTCCTCAATTCTTTGTTGCTTTGTTGCTTCGTTACTTCGTTACTTAATTACTTAGTACCTTAGTTACTCAGTGCCTTAATTACTTAGTACCTTACTTAGTACCTCGTTGTTGGCTTGGTTGTTCGTGCTTGTCAATTCTCACCGGTGCTGCCGCCCTGCCCCTGCCAGGTTCGCCTCCCCGCTCTCAGCAACCGTGCCGGCAGGCCATTCTACGCCGGGGGCGTGTTCGCGAACAGCCGCCCGGATTACGTGGACATCGCCTTTTGGGATCGGTCGGCAGACGACGGCGAGGACGACCGCCACGTCAGCTTCGAGTGCAGAGCTGGCGTGGGAAGGTTCAACAAGACTTTTGACGGGGTGGGAACTGCTCTGAGGTCTGGAACTGATGATATACACAGCTTTGCTCGGGCAAATAGGAGGCTGACGGCTACCTCATTGCCCTGTTATGTAAAATTGAATGATGGTAACGATAATGATGATGAGGAGGAGGAGGAGGAGGAGGCCTGGAGTACATGCAAGCGAGGAGTATCCCTACCTTTTGGCTTTGCTGAGGAATCCAGTTTGAGACAGCATTCGCAGCACGTGATATCAACGTGTCTTGGCCAGACATTGAGTTGCTGTTCATCAGGATTGTGCGCATGGTGGAGACTTGTGAAGGATGTGGGCGGAAGGGCCTTCCTGGCATGCCATCATGTGGAATCACGGATGCTCCAAATGATTCATTAGTTTCTTAATTTGTAAAATCAAAATCAAAGCAGAAAACAGAAAATGATAGAAATCGAAAGAAATTTCTAATGATCTTTGATGAATGATATTGAGCACAGATCGTGGCGGCGGTCGCCACAACGTTCCCCGCAGGGATGCATTCTGAGTCGTCGATTTCACTGGATGGCGGCTTCCACTACCTTTTCCTGCTTTTCTGCTTTAGCCTCTCCTATCACTTTTTCTGCGCCGCTTGTCTTAAACCAGTGAGGAGGATGTCGTTGGGCAGTTGTCTTTGTCGCCTAAACTGTACCAAAGCGAATGCGTCAGTTCATATTGCTCATTTGATTGATTTGTTGATGTTAGAAAGGATGTCTGGCCGTCATTCAGCCTGACTTACAAGCAACAAAAGATGGAAGAGTTTGGCAGCCTTCTCTTCATTGGATTTGCGGCGTGTTTCACTGATATCCAACTGTGCAAGAGACGTCGGGAACCACCGGCATCACTGTCCTTTGTCAGCAAGGCATGGAATACTTGCACACCTTCCCAAGGCGCTGTTGACTGAAGCGCCGTTGCTAAGTGCCGCTGTGGTCCAGGTCGCGCCACCCAGGTGGAATGGTGACAGGCCACCAAACGGCACGATTCTGACACGTGTGCAGCCGGTGTCCCTGTGCCGCAACGCGTCGACCTGCGCCCAGTGCCTGCATCTTTCCAAGCAGGTGACCTCCAACAGATATCCCAAATGCCTACAAGTGATTGTCACGTGAACGACATTTAGGATGAACGGCTTCGTGTCATCTTGAGCGAACACCGATCTGCAGCCGCGCGTTTTGAGGAATGTCTCAGCCAGCCGCGATCTTCTTTTGATTCGTACACCCCTAAACCCTAAAAGCTAAACCTAAACCTAAACTAGACCTAAACCTCAAACCAAACGCCAGCAGGGGAATTGGTTTGCCAAGGGTGAGCAACATTCAGGAAAAGAGATTGAGTAAGAACACCTGGCTATGCCAATGATTGTGTTCAGACAAACTGATGGCGCATTTTTTTGCAGCTCATGAGCATTGTGACACACTGCAGGTGACGATTGAAGATTCGGTGAATGGCTCAAGCAACAGCACCGGGGACCTGGTGCTGTGGATGGCGTTCGACGATTTTCCGTGCTACACGGAGTACAATTTGTTCCTGGAGGTGAGTGCAGCAGCCCGCTCAGTTGCGTTTGTCAAACAGGGCAAGTGTTGCCTTGTATTTGAGGTGAGGATCCTGAGCTCAAAGCCAAGCCAAGGGCAGCCCTACCGCACCTTCATTTTTCATATTTATCATTTTCCGATTTCTAATTTCATTTGCCGCCTTTCATTTTCCAGGTTTAGCGTTTCTAATGCATCCTAAATCCAGTTGCGCTCACGGGATGTGGATTGCAGCTGAGAAAATTGAAATTAAGGGATTGCAGATTACAACATACTTCCTCTGTCCCATATTGATTGCCCTCTATGATTTTGGGGCCAAACTTCTCCATCATAGAGACTTTGGCTTTTAGTGAAACGTAGACAAAAGTTGTGCTCATGAGCCCGCAGCATACGGTAAAAATGTCAAGTCAATCTGCTAAGTATTGTGGATTTGGCAGTGCTTTGCAGCAAGGGGTCTTTTACTTAGTAAACATAGAAATTTTGATCGGAAACGAATAGAATTTATGTTTCGCCCAACGCTGAAAGGGGTGGGGTTGAACTATTCTTCTTGCAAATTGATATTTCAGGGTGCTGGAACCCAACCGTTCCGATTCTGGCATCCTTAACAGTACAGAGGCCGCTTTCGTAGCGATATTTATCTTTCAAGCAGACGACAATTAATATGGGACGGAGGAAGTATTTTCTGCGGCAGGTATGTACTGATGTGCATCGTGATGGTGCTTATTGAATCCCCGCGGCACCCGCCCCTGGCAGGCCGCCGAAACCCTGGACCCTGTGGCCCTCGTCCTGGGGCTAAACTACAGCGACTTCAACTTCCACGAGGCGGGCTTCGAGCCGCGCAACCTGTCCAGGGCCTTCCCGATCTTTTCCGTCAATCTGCAGTGCGGGGCCCGCCTGGCCGCGGACATGGACGCAATGTACGTGTCCCTGCCCATCCTGAAGGAGGGATATGCGCACACGGCTGGATCCTACCTTAGCACCTACCTGCCAGAGACGCTGGTGAAGGTACTGCCGCAGTCCCGCCATGATCCTCAGTGGCGCGCGTGACCTGCCGTGACCCTTGTCATCCCAATCCCAATTGTCCCAATTATTATGTTAAACCCCGAGTATGTTTAATTAAAGTACTGCTCGCAATTGTCCCTACCATTCACTATTATCCCGTTATTCTAATTTGCGTATGGCGCAACCTGTATATCATTTCTGTGATGTGCTGCAGTTCTGTGACTTGGCTCGGACAGCTTGCTTCAATTTTAGCACATTTTGATACATTTTTATTTTTCGATGTATTTTCCATCGGATAGGGGGGGCGCCAGGGCGACTGAGCGATCTGAAGTGTTCCGATGATATTTGAAAGCTGTGATGCGTTATTTGTGTGAAACCATGGGATAGGCAATAATAATGGCAATAATGCGGCATTTACTTCCACCGATGTTGCTTCCACCATACCGGCCATGTGTCTTCCACCGACGGGAAATTGCCCAAAAGCCATGGTTACGATTACGTGATCTGTCTGGCACTGGTGTGCCATTCGGTGCATTGCTAACTACTAGTATAATTACACTTAATTATAGTTATTTATTGCTAATTATTATGTTGTCATGTTACTAATTTAGCGCATTTGAACGAGGATCGAAAATGCATAAGTTGGAGCATTTGCCAGGGATCGGGCACAGTAGATATAGCGTTCTCGTGCATTAGGTTGCTGCCAGCGACGCTGGTGAAGACGCACGATGTAATTCTTAACGAATAGACGGTCGCTATGATCTAGTGCGCACTGGTAAAGAAGGCACAGTAGCAGCCACACGAACGATTCCCTTTTGATGCATGGCAGATCATTCAGCATTAAGTCAGCATTCAGGCTCGATCGAAAATAACACTGAAACAATGTGCTGGACATGTGCACTGTCGCATTGCTACTGTGTGCAAGTACCCCGAACAGATGACGGGCTGCATTTTGGTTTCCAAAGCGTTGTAACCACATTCACCACAATGTTATCAAAACTTGTTTGAAATTGTTGTTAATTTTCCAGCGGCAGCTGCCACAGGGTGGTGCGGTGACGAGGTGCGACGTGTCGTGAGTCAGGCGCCTGTCAAAGCAGAAAATGCCTCGGAGATCCGTGATCTGCATGATTCGCAGTGTGCATACGGTCTGGCTTGAGCTACAGCTCCGCGCTGTCATTTACATACAGTCACTACGATCCACGGCGGTATCCACCAAGCGGATGCACTGCAGAATTACCTGCCAGCCGCGTGCCAAATGCAGACGGGCCAGTTTTGATTGAGTGCTACGGAAATTCAACCCCCCACCCCACCCCACCCCACCCACCCACATACACACCCTACCGAGATGCACAGCTTACACTACGTGACTCTACTGCTTATAACATGTAGACTCCAACGCATGGTACGTTGCCCTGCGCACCTGAATGTTCCGACTCTTAGGTATCGACGCCCGGCGAGGCAGATGAGATTTTCAAGGCCGGCTTGTCCACCTGGAACCCAAGCTCTTCTCAAGCCGCCAACGGCACGCTGGTCGCGCTGCAAGTGCATCCAGCATGCTTCGGAGTGGTGCGGACTGGATCCATCCAATTGCTTGCATCCAACTATTATTAGTTGGATGTTATATTACAGCTTGATCCTTGTGAGTCAATTAGTCCGTTTCATCAACTCAAACTAATAGACCGATTGCATCCTGGTAATGATTTTAATTTGGCCATTTGTTCAATTACACCCCGCCCGCATCAATTGGTGCACTTGTAGTGCTTACCTGATTAATCAACGAACTGTGATTTGGCGCCAACAAGAAGTGGTGGGAATTGTGGTGGGAATCTAAGGAATTGAGAGTTTGATCGTTTCATGAATTGCAATGGCAGATATAGTGGATGTATTCTGCTGCGCGTGGAGAGTGGGCAGGATGCGACGTATCCCAGATGCATACCCTGGACATGCATATCCAGGGTGTGGACCATATCCTGGATGTGGCCGTATCTTCCCACCGAGTCCAGTACATGGAGTCCCATATTCTGAATATGGTGTATCCATATCCAGGAGATGGTACCAATATCATATTCTATGTCCACGATATAACAACAATTCCATGAGTAAATCCAGCGCGAATGAGCGCCAGTCACTATTAGATTACTATTGAAATGGGCAGCGGGCGGAGGCCGGCGCGGAAACCACTTGCAACGCCGGTCGAGCGGCACCCTTTGGGCAGGGTGGGCACAAGGCTGAGCGCTCAGTAGCACTCCAAATGCAGCGAATGGCCGTATCCACATCGACCAAAGGCCATTCCGTAACTGAATTTGTGTTAGTTGGAGGTATTCTTCCAGCCTTCGACTCTTCCAAAGGGATTGGTCGCTCTTTTATTGATATCAAATCGATGCGCGCTGCCTGGCCCAGCGAGCGTGGACACAGGCTAATTGGAATGATACCCAAAAAATAACAGGAGAGAAACTGCGCTTAGACGCCTCAGATATAGGGAGGAGAGATGAGAGCCTCATCTTTCCTCCCTACACCCACCCCCACCCCCACCCCTCCCCGTCCCCCTGTTCTTCCCATAATTTCCCACACTTGTCAATGGCCCTACAAGTATTGAAACTATGCCGTGGCGCGAGGCTCAAGGCTGGTGCGGCTTGCATGCGCAGTCGAGCTGCGCCGACTGCGACGGGATGATTTGGAAATTCAAAACGAACGAGAGCGAGGTGGAGGGCAAAATTGCGATCCTGGCAAGGGCCGTGCCAGTGCCTGCAAGCGAGGTGAGCGCATTGGTTCTTTTGGCTGGATGACAATTAGCGTAGTACATTAAACCCTCCCACATCAAAAATTTTGATGTTACGCCTTATGCTCTGCATTTTTTCAGAGCGTTATTTGTTTTTTCTCATGGTGCTCCGCAAAATTTTACCAATTTTCTCTGCGGAAAAGGCCAGGCATTACGTTGCTATGCGGAAGTACTGAATATTTCGCGGCAGACTGTTCACACGGAAGCGAACCAAATTTCAAACGGTACCGAAGAAGACACTAAAAGAACGGATGACAAAAGGCCGTGCCAGACAAAAAGGGGATGCTCCTGAACGTGGCGCAGTAGAAAGACATACACACCATTCCCCAGAGAATCTGCTCTCACTCCCGGGGCGGCAGAAAGTGACCTGCACTGAAGTACGCCAGGATACAATTTGATGGACAGGAATAATTGACCCAATCACGTATCACAAAGCACTTAACTTTGTACCGATCCTCTCCAAGAGGCTGCTAGTTACAGAACAACGGAGTTTTGCGTTCCATGCCTGCTGAAATTTAAATTCAACTAAATCTAAAATCTAAAACTAAATTCAAAATTTGAAATTCCATGCCCGATTGAACCGGAGTGTACAATAGGGTAAAGCAGGCGATTTGAACTTCGCGCTGCTTCCCTCCCCTGGCCTTTGTCTCCTTTCGTATCGATCCGCGGATGCCATGGGATACGCGTCGCGCTGCATTCATTTTGGCCCGCGAATGACACATCTCCAGCATAATGAACCAGGCCGCGGTTAGGCTGTTGCTTAAACGGTCGCCACCCACATGGTGTCGTCATCATCATCACTGATCATCACCACAACATTGCCAAAAACGGGACCATGGTACTCGCGTGGGCGAAGCACAGAAGTGGAATTTGCGACGTGCAACCGTACACATGCTCTTTCCTCCTTACCACAGTACCTTCACAACAACATCGACCCAACCGCGATGGGCCTTGACCCCGGAGACTTTGGAGATGACTACGCTCTGGAGCAGCAGGGCTGGAATTGCCTCTTTCCGTTCAGCAACGTCGCCCGGCAGGTTGAGATGGCCGGAGGAAAGGCAGTCATTTTCGTCAACAGTGAGTCTCGCAATTTGGGTGGAATCGCGAGAGAATCGCGCAGAACAATGAATAGCCAAAGGCAAATGGATAGCCTGCTACATGAATGGCTGACTAACAGTTACAATAAAAAAATTGTATCAAGCGGATGAAATCGGATCGGAAATTGTATCAAGATTTTCGATTGAAACATTTGCGATATGAAAGAATTTTGATGTGAAATATTCTTGATGTTGTCTCAAAAATAGTATCAAGTAAATCAGAAGTCGCATCAAGCATATGTGCACGGCCATGCTGGCGGGTCTCATGCTGAGATCGTGGGGCTGCAGTCGGTCTGTGAGCCAGCCAGCCATTGGTCGAGTCGATTGTCCTACTTAGCAATATGCAATAGATATTAATAAGTATTAATAAGTAATGCTTCCAATAGGTAATAATTACTACTTAGCAATTCCCACTACTACCTGACGTTACTGTGCAACTACTCAGCTGACCCATCGACACTCCGTTGGTGACACGCAGCCTGTCCTGATTAACGGCACCGGACTGCAATGCATCAAGGTGGTGCCGCAGCTGCAACATGGGGACGTCCAGGGATGTGCTGTAGACCACGGGCCGTAATGCAACGAGTTTGATTTCCTGAAATTGAACATTGGGGCGGTTGGACCAAGCCGAACTGATTTGTCGCAGCTCCTGGCGGAGAGCTCCATGCACATAAAATATATAAAATATAGTTATATGCAAATATAAATTATATTTAAAGTTGAACGTCTTCGAATCTCGGGCTGAACGATGCACGACCAACATGCGGAAATGGCGAGCGTAGAGCAGCCTTGGAAACTGCCAAGGTACGATGAGAATGCCGGTGGTGCAAACAATGGCAGAGATAACAGCAGTTTCAAAGGGGAGGTGCCATGGCGATGAGTCACGCAAAAGCTCTAAGTGATGCTGGGGAAAGGCGCGCGATGAATGGCATTCGCACTTTGAAAGCCCAATCCTGTCGTTTCGTTGGGAACTGATCTGTGGGGCAGCACCTCAAGGTGAAGCCGACTTGGCGCCAGCTGAATCGGTTGGTCCCCCGCGCAGGTGTGAACAACGTGCACACCTACGTTCAGGCGGACCCACCCCAAGCGGTCAATATCCCTTCATTCAACGTGCCCTTGGCTGTGGGAATGGAATGGTTGTGGGACGTCACGATATTCGGGAAGAGTATCGAAATATCGTTGCCCGCAATCCAAGACGGTGAGAGCAACCACAGGTCCCTGCCTATTCCGCCCTGCTATTGGCCGTGTTGGACTTGTGTCGCATTGAGCAATGTTGCGTGTCGGGGCTGTCCCGCGCGTTGAATGAAATTCAGTAAGAATGCTAATCAGAATCGCATAGTGGATCGGCATTTTTGCGCATCACACCACGCTTTCTGGACCTTTCACGTCAACTGCTGCGTGGCCAGGTTTTCTGTCCCTCTCAAATGTACCCCATTTCTGGTTTACATGTCCAAACTTGGTACACAATGTTCAATGTTTCAATGACGCACACATGTTCAATTGTTCAAATGTTCAAACGTTCAAATGTTCACATGCTCAAATGCTCAAATGTTCAAATGTTCAAATGTTCAAATGTTCAAATGTTCAAATGTTCAAATGTTCAAATGTCCAAATGTCCAAATGCTCAAATGATCAAATACTCAAATGTTCAAATGTTCAAATGTTCGAATGTCAAAATGTTCGACTGTTCAAATTTTGCCGCCGATTTTCTCCAGGCGTCCCTAGGGAGGCAGGCCTCCAGGTGGCGAGCGTCCGCGCGGCGTCCATTGCGGAGACAGAGTCGTCACCGCCGCGGGCCTCAGGACCCAGGAAAACCAACCGCACTGCCAGGATCATCATCGGATGCATCGCGGGAATCGTGGGCTCCCTGCTGGTGGTCGCCCTGTCAGTGCTGCTGCTCCTGCGGCGGCAGCAAAAGCTGGCGTACCTGCAATACGTCGAGGAGGATGGCGCGGACGCTGTCGGTGAGCCAGCCCGGGCAGACAATGAAACATGCCTCATGACAAAAGAAATGCCCAATGGCACAGGATAAAAATGCAGTGCAAAATGATGACTTGCATGGAAATGACCGTAAGAACGGAAATGAAGAATGGATGGTCGCGTTTGTGCGGGTGCGGCGAACGCTGCCATGCCTGTGGTAAATGGCAGTACGTCGAGGAGGATGGCGCGGACGCTGTCGGCGAGTCAGCGATGTTAACCGACATATGGCGATATAGTTTCTGATGGCACTAGCTAATGGTATTGTGATATACACTATAGTACTCAAACCTTCCGCGTAAAGAAATTTTCCGTTGCGCTTTCTGCTCCGCATGTTTTGCACCAGAGCGTCATCTACTTTTCCGGTTGCTCCACAGACGTTCTTCTCCGCCAAAAAATGCCGAGCGTTACGTTGCAATGCGAAAGGGTCTATTAGAATACGGTAATGACTGTTACGTTGTGATGTTATGACTGTAACACCAGTCTTGTGGCGTAGTGATGACAGTGCCCCATTGTGGGGGTGAATTGAGGAACCGAGGGTGTCTGACGCCGCAGTGACGAAGAAGGAGCCCCAGCGGATGACCACCTTGCCAGAGGACACCATCCCCACGGCCCCGGACATCGAGATGGAGGTCATGCTGACGGCCGTGCCCAGCAGCGACAGAGCCAATTGAAGCAAACGGTGGCGCCTCGCTCTTTGTGGCGCACCCCTGGCTTAAGTTGATGCCCTTGCGCAAGAAAGTGCGACGAGTGTCTGATGATTGTATGTGGAAATTTGAGGTAGACGATAGTGAGTGCGTAGGTGGGTAGGGCGAGTTGAATGAGAGGCAACGAAATCAAGCGGCACGGTGTGTGTTGCAAAAGGGGATTTGGGGCAACGAGGGCTTGTCAAGAGCGAGTCTTTCACGTCGCTGTCGTGGAATTCGTGGTGGCAGCCTCGCTGATCGGCTGCACTTTGCATGGATAGCGTGTGTAACATCGACCAGTGCGCTTCCAGTCCCCCGGCCAACGACAACCGGGAACCTCCCTTGACTTATCATTCGTCGAGAACACCCTGTACGGAGTGCTCTGTACAGAGTGTATTACCTAATAGTACTGTGTGCGCCGTGCCCTGTACTCCTGTACTACTTTTCCATGCTCTGAGTACTTTGACCATTATCCCGAAATACAGTCCTGTGATTCGTCAGCCCGTCCATTTCCAATTCCCCAACAAGCGGCAGTTGTAGACCGCTCGACGATGGGAGCTTCTGCCTGACGCGCTACGAAGGAGTTCCATCACCTGCGAAAAGTTAGACCCTTTTCGCAGGAAAGAGTTCTGGGCTATGTACAGCTGTACGTTAGGCACTTTCATTGTGTGGGATGCTCCCCAGATCTGGATGCTGGTGCTGCTGTGACCAGGCCTCATTTATCCACCCCTTTTACCCTCAACCGCACAGTTCTTTGCAATGGCGTTTGTGTCCTTGTAAGAAATCTTATTCTACACCATTTTGAAGTATCAGCAATGGAGCGGAGCTATTGCAAACGGAGCAATGCTCCAATCGAAAGTCATCCACCTGGAGTCGCCAATCTGTCAGAGTGGGCCTTCGCAATGGTGTTGAGACCTGCGCCTCCAGACGAATCCGATATTCTGCCACCATTTCGGCAAAGAGTGGCAAAGGGTGAAAGACTTTGGTGTGAAGTGGTAGGCAATTGAATGTCTGCCAATTGACACAACCCAGCCATTCTTCACAGATCTTACAGGGACAAGTGCCCATGCGCGTTTGCCTCATTCTGTCCATTTCGGCCCCAAGCATTGCAGCTTACGGATGCCTAGACAGTGCCTGCTCCTGCTCCAAAAACGGCCCGCGGTGCCTTGCGCGTGGCTCTATCAGCTTGAAATCCGACGCAACTCGTCGTTGAAGCCACGCAATGGGGAAAGCCGACATTGGCATTGTGAGCTCGGGGGCCAATGCGGGTTGAACATGCGATTTACAAGACTACTTGGCTGCCCCTGCACATTTCGCGGTACAGGTTCGCAAACAATGGTGACCCGGTGTTGCGGAACTAGTGTGTCGTTGGTAGAGTCAAGACCCAGTACCAAAAACCCCGAGACGCACCGAGTTCGACAAAATGAGAGTCGACATTCAAGCCTACACAGAGTTGTCCCTGCCCAATGGGATTCTATAACACGCAGCATACACCGTGGTCCAGTCGTGATACAACAGGGCATACAACAACGCGAAATGCGCAATAAGCAGACTTGGCCACCTCCTCAAAAAATATGCTGCGATAAATTCATTATTAATACCGCTGCGAGGCCCTAAGGAGATCCAGCATCATCCTAGACGATGCCGATGTCGAAGCAACACCAATGGAACTCATGCCGGTGACAGTCATGCCGGTGACACACTTGCTGAGTCTTTGCATACCTGTCTTGCTTGTGGACAGAGAGCGGCAGCGCATTTGAATAAGCGAATGTCGCAGAAAAATCGGGGAAATCGCGAGGTCTGGAGGGCACGGGCGGTGCTGACAAAGATGGCCGGAACTCTCTGGTGCAAGACCGGTACTGGAATTGAGACAAAGGCCCATGTTGTAACCCGTCCAAGGGCCTACCATTCTGTTCTTCTGAGCAGAATCTGTGTGTTACTCGTCTTTCAGGCCTTAAGGCACTAAGCTTGGAGTCGACTCTCTGATTCAAAGCCCCAGCTATCCCCTACAGGAGGGACGTGGGATCTAAGCTGCGACGTGGCCGATCGGTGGTCGACAGAAACTGCCATCGTGGCCCGGAAACCAGGAAAACTGTTCGCGACCCATCTGACGCAGCACCAGCACGTGGGCAACCGCCACATGAACATCTCCCTCGTTTTCATTGTCTGTTTGCGTCCACGCGCGGTTTTTCTGCTTGATTGACCGACGCCCATGTTGTTGTTAGCATCATGGACCGCGGCGGTTGGCGCTGACGAAGGTGGGCAGGGTTGAGGGGTGGCGACCCCTGAACGGGGACCGTAGGCTCGAGTCCACAGCAACGGCTTACAGACGAGCAAAGGGACAACAGGAGCTCCGTCCCTTGTATCCAGCCCGTTGGTCAAGGTCCTAAATGCAGTGCCCAATGCTTCATCACCTCTTTGTGCGTTCACCTGTTGATAATACTGAGTCAGTTCTAGTTACCACAACGCCATGTTGAAGTGGGAATAATGAAGAGGACGACTGAATCGGGGATCAATGCAGGCACCTCTGATGGGATGTCCCACTGTTCTATCAAACTACTTGGCCAGGGGCAAGGCGGAGGGCAGCCCGCTCCCTTGAGTCCCATTCCACCCAACATGCCTGTCCACTGGAGTATAGTAGTCCCTTTGGCTTTTCCGTGAAGATCCTTCTTCCGATGACAAGGCCAATTCCGGTCAGTGGGCCGGTGATTTAGGGTTCAGGGTGTCTGAAACCAGAAGGGATCTTCACGGAAGACAGAGCGACAAATTGGGTGGGCATACAATTACTGGGTGCACCAAATCGGTGACTATCTGCACTAAATCGGTGACTGCTTGCACCAACTCCGTCCAAAACCTACCTAACCTAAAACTCACCCTAAAACTGAGGCTAGGACATAGTGTTCACGTGATTTGGTGTAAGTAGTCACCGATTTGGTGCACGCAGTAACACTATTTCCGATGACGTCGAGTCCACCCTCGCACGTTGAGAAAACATCGTCCCACCCATCGACCACCCTCGGAAGTCGCCATCGGAGTCGACTCCTACCACCCCCCATTGATACCTCTCCCCACTCCCTTCGACCGGACCGCCACCCCCCGAGCATCCCCGCAGCAACCTCTCGGAACCCCAAACCCCGCTCACGGGCCAAAAGCCCCGCTCAAAGGGCCCATCCTGGCCAGGGGGGGGGGGCCATCGGTCGGGCTGCATACATCCTAGGGGTTCGATCCGGGCGGGTCCGGTGATTCGGGCGAAGTGTCCTGCATCCCAAAAAGGAGGTCAGCGGAAAGACTTCCGGAGGAGGGCCTTGAGGCGGGATGGCGAGGGCGCGGCGGCCCGTGCCGCTGGCGGCGGCGTGCGCGCTGTGGGCTTGCCTGGCGATCGGCCTTTCCGGTGCGCACGGGGGGGCGAATGCTGGTGTGGGTGCAGGGCAATTGATTAAGGGAGCGAGAAAGAGGTGGTGCAAAGGGCATCCCTTGCAAGCAAGTGCGTGTGAGGCCCTTTGCATCCTCTTCTGAGCAAATGGATGTGGGACCCTTTGCCGCGCAAGGCTAATGGTCTCCCAACGCCAGAGGAGGGGCACACGTGTGCGCGTGTTTGTGCTTTGGGGGAAGGGGGGGGGAGGTCCTTTGGCGTGCCTGGTGCGAACATTGTCCGGTGCTGCGTTCCGCTCGTGGGCGACAAGCTAAGCTCGTAGCGGGCCGGGCCTCCGGGGCTGCGGCGTTCTGGACGCGCTGTGCGAAGCACGAGCCGAAGCGGGCAGCTTTGCAAGTGGTCTTCGAGATTGACCGCGATGACCGTGATGGCTGCATTGGAACCGTTGCTGCGGTGGGCTTGCTGTCGTGACGGGGTGTGTGCTGGGGGCAGGCGCGGCAGACGAGTGGCTCATCGGCTGGCTGGGGGAGACGTATCGGCCTGCCGAAGTGTGGCCACAGCCCGCGACGGAGGTGGGCCAGGGGGGGATTGGGGGTGGGCTGGATGATTGGTTCCGTTCATTAATTGGGAAATTCTGGAGACTGTTCATTCATTTGTTCAACAATCCAGGCCTGTTTCTCACGTTGACGGCACTGTTGTATCTAAAACTGAGCACCATTGTTGTAACCAGAACTGATTGAGTATTATTGACAGTTGAGCGAATAAAACGAGATGATGAAGCAATAGCAATGGCATGAAGGACGTTGATGAACGAACTGAATTTAAGGGACAGAACTCTTGTTGTCCCTTTGCGTCGGCTGTAAACCGTTGCCGTGGATTCGAGCGTACATTCCCCGTTCAGTGATCGCCACCTCTCGATCCTGCCTGCCTTCGTCATGGTAAACGGGTGAACGTGTAAAGAAGTAAGATGAAGCACTAGGAACTGCATTTAGGACCTTGATGAACGAACTGGATATAACAGGTAGAACTTCTGTTGTCCCTTTGCTCAGCTGTAAACCGTTGCCATGGACTCGAGCCTAAGGTCCCCGTTCAGGGGTCGCCACCCCCGGCTGCCTTTGTCAGCATCACTTTTACGGTAATGTGTTCATGCGGAAAAAACCATAAATAGAGAACGCATTCTTGCAGCCCAATTTCCGGCCATGTTTGCGCATTTCGCGGCTCGTCGGCACACCCAGGTGTCCCAACAAATGATCAGTCCTCCGCCCCCTCGAGCACCTGCAGCACAGCATCCACCTCGCCCTCGGCAAGGGCAGCGACGTAGTCGAACAGAAGGTCGCTTGCTGCCCACTCCAACTCGTCTGGCTGTCGCCCTCAGGTACCCATTGAATCTGTATGTGTTGTCATTATGTACACAAGGCCCATTCTTACGCACGTTTGCCCCTGTTTACACATAAAGGTGTAAACCTATTTTGCGCGTAAATACACATAAATACGTGAGTATTTAAGCCGTAAGTAACCAGCCTGCATCAAGGCTACCTGGGGAACAATTGGGTGACTAACGCCGCTGACCCTGGGGATTGGGAGATGAAATTGGTGCTCTACCCTCTGTCGGTGTTGTGCAGAGTGAACACCCTGCCGTGTACTTTGTGGATGTTGAGTTTTTTTGGGTCAGTTGAATTGTTTTGGTTGGTGAATTTGTTTTTGGTGGGGACTGTGCTGTTGATGGTTTGCGACGCGATGTGGACCCTCCATGGGGATGGGCTAGTCCATTTAGTTATCGTGTCGTTCATATTGTTATCGTTCATGTCGTTCATAGTATTCATGTCGTCCACATTATTCGTATCGTTCCGTTGTGGAAGCTAGGAAAGAAAACAAAAGAAAATCGGCAGGAGAATTGCTCCGATGTTGGGTCCTTGTTGCACATTGGTTGCTGTGCCATTTAGCGCTGCCCCTTAAGACAATGAACAGAACGAGCCATGTTCTGATTTATGTAGATTGTCAGGTATGCTTTCAAGTGCATAAGACCTTAGTGTGGGTGTGCTGGTGGACAACATCCTAATGGAGGGTTCTCTTCTTTTTGCTTGGCAAGTTTCAAGAGCAACCAGATAATGAGTGTAGGACTGAGTTATCTCCTCAACCCATTGCTGAGCAGCAGCCAATGCTTTTCGGTCTCTGGTGTTGATTTCTCCCTCTGACTTTCACGGCTGAACATGCAGCAGGGCAGTTGTTCTTAACCCATTGTGGTCATTGGGTTGAGGAAATGATGCCATTTATGCCTGTCACTGATATTCAATCGGTGCACAAGCGGTGACCCTTGATGAGACCAGCAAGCTCGCTGCTGCTGTTCCAAACACAGTTGAGCACACAAAGGATGCTTCATGGACCGTGTGTGGTACTGGCATTCCTGGGAAATTTACTTACCCAAGGTTCATCGGAATTTGGTGCACCTGTCAGGTGCAGCACAACTTGCAAGCTTGTGTGCCTGGTGCTGTTGGGCCACGAGAAGTACAGATGAACAGAACGTGACAGCACCCTTGTCATTTTTCTCACCCACAGAATTAGAGTTTCTCATCGCGGCTTGTTTCTGTGGTCCAGGCATCCAGATCCCAACCATGGTGAGTGAGCATGGATGAGATAGGCTGTTCTGCCCTCGTCATGTGAACCATATCAACTTCAAAGCCAACAATGAGGCATCGAATGGTGCTACCTGTTCTGCAAAAGTCAGAATAATGATGTGGTGGGATTTGAACTGATGATTTTTTCAAGAAACTGTCTAGAGCACTGCACCAGAAGTTGTCAGGCCAGCGACCTTTGTGGCCACACGCAGTTCATTATCTTCCAATACGAGCACCACGATTCTGCCATGCATGGAATCTGCTTCTCTTGTCTGTTGTTAAGTACCTGTGTTCAACAATGATCACATGGCACCTTGGACTTGAGGTGTGTTGCTGGAGACACGTTGAATTGAGTGTACACCACTGTCCTTGCTCATGAAGTCGGGCTGAAGCCTGGCATTCCTGGCCTGTCAACATGTCAAATGACATACTGCATAGCCTGCCGCTCAGCACAGCTGCGGACATACGCATGAACACAGCATCGTCGGCCTTGTTTGGCAAGGGTATGTGAATGTCCCTGTGCTTTGCAGCCCCCCAATGCACGTGACTATCTGCAGCACACAACACAGGGGGGAATTTTCATGCAGTCACGGAGGTGCCCACCTCAAGAACAGTATCTGGCAGTGTGGCCTCACTACCACCGATCGCCATTCAGCAATGCAGTCATAGCTGGGCGAGAACTTAGCAAGCACAACCTGAGATACGCATTTGGTCATATGTGTGGTCACAAGGACGAAGCCCAGTGATGCCACTGCAGCAACCCCCACTGAAACTGCCACCATCCCCCTGCCACCGCCTTAAGCAAGCGCAATGTGCTCAGCACTGCAAATTTTGGTGTTGAAGCATCTGGGGCCTGGAGTCTTGATTTGTTGTCGGGAGTTTTCGGTGGTTTGTTCCCAAACAATCCCAAAAAAACTTCTCAAAAATACTTCCCAAAAAACCTTTGTTGTGTTTTGAAAGGATCGAAACACTCTCTTGGAGGCCAAGGGCGTTCTTGTACCACAGCTTCCTGAGCGATGCGGAATGCGACCACCTAATCAAGCTCGGTGCGCCGCAGGTGGGCATTTTCCTGAGCCATAGCGTTGCCTCATACATCATTCTGTAAAAATCATCAGCTGAGTAGAGTGAATCAAGCAAAGCGCAAGGTGGCCATTTGCATAGATGAGGAAGTGTATTGATGGCACAGTTTCTCAGACCGATGCCAGTGTGGCGTTTTCAGCAGCAAGGGCAGCAAGCACAAGGTGCAGTGAGGAAGCACATGTGTCCAACACAATGGAGAAAATGCTGCTGAACAGGGCCTGCTGGTTGCATTGTGGACAATTGCACACAAACGCGCACACCCAGTTGCCTCGCAAAGCCCAATGCAGACTGCATCGAGGATAGTTGCAGGAATATACTATTTGCACAGCTTCAAGCCCTTGCACAGCCACAGTACCTAGAGATGTTTGATAGCAAATGGGAACAAAAAGCAGCTGACAGACAGTAATGAACATGAACAGCAAATAATGTTGGTCAATAAAGGGGAAATCACTCTGTTTCATTTGGCAAAAGATGAGTGAGATTGCAACAACAACATTTTCTTGGGTTCTGCGCACTTCCGTGGGGCACATCCTGCACTTGTGCAGTTTGGTGGAGGTACTCCTAGCAAATGCCAGTGTGGGTTGGCAGCCATTCATGGCCTTGTGTATGCCCTGGCGGGCTGCATTCTGGCGATGAGTGTTGTCCAGTCATTTCAAGATGTTCTTAACTGCTACTGCTTGGCCAGCATAAGCGAGTCAGCAGGCACCTGATTACCCAATAGTAGGTGCGTTTGATGTGATCAATCTTTTCTGATATAGAAGGATGTCGAATCTCAGGGTGTTGGGCTTCGCTGCAGTGCTGGATGTTGGGCATCCAATCGGTGGTGTGCCTCTTTTGCTGAAAGCTGTGGCCTATTGGTTGGAGCACTGCTTTGTGTACCTGAGAAACCTAAACTAGAGTGTACTCTGCCACCCGATGCTTTATAAGTTGTTCCAAGATTTCAAAGCCGTGAAATTGAGTCAGAACTCGAAAATCGCGGTTTGCCCCAACTCATGAATGTAGCCAATACCTATTCATGTAATTGTAAAGAAAGGGAAGCGAAGAGAGCACAGGAATTTGCTACGCGTGACAGCTTGCCACAGTATTGCATCCCACCTGGCACTGCCCAGCCTGGTTGCAAGCATTGTACAGAAGTGGGTCTCAGCTGCCTCCTTGTTTCTCACCATGTTGGGCTGTTGGGTGTGACCCTGCCTTGGCTGTGTGTTGTGGAGCTGGCAGTCAAGCTCCTTGGCATGTTCTGTGCGATGACAGGCACAGCCAGTAACAGGCAATGTGTCTCAAGTGGCACAGCACAGCCATCGGTTGCCACCTGTGTGCAATTCCTCTAGAAGTTTGGTGACACACGTATGTGGTGGGTGGTCCAGATGAAGCGTTCCATGGTGGTATCCTCTTCGTCGGAGAATGGAGAGGTGTCTGACTACAGATCGAGCTATGGATGTTTTCTGAAGTGAGTGGTAAATGGACATCTAATGTGGTGCCTGACCATTGTCTCCTAATCGTCACCTGGCCTAATGCGCTCTGGATACACTCCATGCACCTTTGTTGGGCAGGAGAGGATTTGAGATTCCCAGTGAAGTCCTCTTTGGTTGCAGGTGTCCAATGAGCGGCACAGTCTAACTTTGAAATATTTGCAGCTCATTAGCGACTACCATCCAAGGAGATGACATTTCCAGCAAAGCAGAGTGCACTGTTGACAGAAATGGCTGGGTTGCGCTTTTGTTGCTTTGGCAGAGCAATGCACCCACGAGAAGGTGATGCTGTTCACCTCCACAAATGTGTGTGCCCACTAGTATGGAATGCCTTTTCGCTGTGGAATCGTTGTGCCACTGGGCCACAAAGCGAATGCAGTCAACTCAAGCAACACACCTGGCCAGCGGCATTTTCAAAGGATGTTGTTCATGTCCCTTATCAACACAGAGCAACAGCATATGCGTACTGAGACAGCACCAGAATCTGCCAGTTTTTCATGAACTTTGCTGTGTTGCTCTGTAACACCCAGCAACCACATTATTGAGTAACAGACCACATCAATCTCCTCACAGCCACCAGACACGGCACAGACAGGTTCCACTGTTATGTGCATGTACATGTATTTGTATGTGTGCATGTACATGTACATGCACTTGTATATGTACATGTACGTGTACTTGTACAAGTGCATGCACATGTGCATGTACATGTACATGTACATAAGCATGTACAAGTGCATGTACATGATATGTATATCCTAAGCATGCCGATTGCCGGCTGCTAAGAGAACTGGCCTGCTGCTGGACCAGCCGCATGCAGGACAAAGTCGTAACAGACATCATGCGGCGCCTGTCAGAGTGGACTCATCTGCCCATGATCAATCAAGAGGATGTGCAAATTTTGAGGTATGCAGATGGCCAGACCTACAGACCACACATGGACGTGCTGGCAGAAGACGATGAGGATGGCAGGCGGCAGGCCACTGCCCTCATATATCTGTCAGGTTGGTGTTCTGCTGGTGCTGTGTTCTCTGTCAACATGGCAGAACGTGTCACAGGTCACAGGTTAGTGCTGAATAGCAACACTGAAACTTGATTGTATTTCAATGTATTCATAGTTTATTTGAAGTATATTTAAATGTTTAAATGGTCGACAGGTCTGGTTACTTGATGCCTGACCAAGGCTGGCCAGTGCTACATCCAGCGATTTTCCAATAGGTCCGTGCGTCACAATTGGGGTCGCGTTGCCTGACAGCAGGTGTTTTGAATCCAAGACTTGCACACAATGCACTGCGTACTTTGCACACCGTATTTGGGCCCTTGTGGCTGATGCAGTTCATGCACATATTCACAGACTGCACAGCACTTTGCCTTGTCTTGAGCATCTGTATTGCATGGCGTCCTTACAGATTGCAGGGACCTGCTTTCTAATTCTGCTGCTTTGTAATGTATGATGTTCTTCTGTTGTTGCAATAAATGGTTTCCACTTTCAGAGCTAGATACTTCTTCTGAAGCACATGTGAGCAGCATGAGTACAATCTGGACATCGGGTCCAGGAGGATATGGGGTACTTGATTGCTTCTTCTTGCAAGCAGCACGGCATTCGTCTGGCCAAACTGTTGGACAGTTGGTTTGATGCAGCAGTGGCATCTGCTTTGGGCAAACTCTGTAGCACACAAATAATTGCCTGTCTGACTGAATGGAAACATGTCATAGTATAAGCACATTTCGCATGAAGAAGGGCGTTTATTAGAGTAAATTTGGACGTTTCCATACTGCACCAGATGGTAGCAACATGTTGTTGTGCCCAACACAGATGTGGAAGCTGGTGGAGAAACAGCCTTCCCAAAGACCCGCAACCATAACTGGGTCGATCCCGGAAAAGTCGAACGCATGGAGAACGTATCGGCATGTGCTAAAGGGCACATAGCCACACGGGCCAGAAAGGTACCGTTTGTTGGTTGGCATTGCTTCCGTGACAATGTACTTTAGCGAAACAGAACACGTGAAGTTGTTCAGAACCTGATGCCTTGAATGGAGATGCGTACTGAGCTTGTTAGCATTCTATTCAAGAATAGAGTACTGAGTGACTTGGCATTGTTTGTGTACAGTGTGGGTCTGTATTTCACTGTAGTGCAGTGTACTGGTTGTGTTTCTGCGGTTGTTGCACAATTCTATGCTACTGGTGTGCTGTCCTGTGCTGTACAAAGCACAGTCCCATTGACAGATTTGCTGGAAAGGGTGCTCAAGCCTTCTGGCACCTGGCCTTCTCTTTGCTCCTTCATTTTCCCCACTACTGTGGCAGGCATAGTGGGTGCAGGCCGTAGCCACAATCAATTGTGCGCTTGCATTGTGAAACTACAGTATGCATGGTTTCCATTGATGTCAGAGCGATGGCTGTCCCAATAACAGATCACCCCTCACATGCTTCTCCTGCGTCCCAAATCTCCCTCAAAAGCGAATACACCCCTTGTTTACGATCATTAATTTGGACGTCACCCAAGCAGCTATATGGAAAGGACAATATCCAGGCATCCCTGACACGTTGTCGGATCCCATTGGCACTATTTGTGCTGATATTGCTAGCATTCATGACATTGTTCATTCATACATTGGCTTGCAAGAAATTTGAACGCTCCATTGCCACTCTGTGCCTTTGTGGGCTCCGTGGCATCCACAAGGATCGCTCGGCCAACTTGCAAAGCCCTGTCTAAATCTGTGCAGCTTGCTTCCAAACGCCTGTTGCAGTGGCAGTCCCAAACCTAAACTTCATTCTCAACTGCATGTGTTGTGGCATCAGCTGGGCCAAACCCTGGCATCTGCCTTGGCCCTGGCCATTGTCATACACTCTTTCACTTGCTCCCAGGTCAGTAGACCTGCTGTCCGTAGTGCACATGACCCCATAGTTGGTTACCCTGTGTAGTCATCCCCACAGCTCCTTTCGGCAGTGTAGGACAAGATCGTGCCTCAGGGCCAATCGACTGGTCGCCACAGTTTATGTGCGATTGTGCCCCACCCGCTGGTCCCAATTCGGTCCACCTGCCTTTCACGGCGCAATAGTGGAAGACGCCAATGCCAACTGGGTTGTCGGATTGGTGTAGGAAACCGCATAGCCGAACTGATCTGCTCGGTATTAGCACAAGAACTTTCCCTCATTTGAGTGAGAAACCCGGGTTCCAAAAGTATCCCACAGCGGAGTGGGAGAGCTGAAGTCCACCCCGCAATCGGTTGAAAGTTTACCAGCAAATCGAATACGCGGAATCGTCTTTTGGTCGGTGTCCATCAAATTTACGGACATCAACCTACGTTTAGTGCTTTCGTTGATAGCTTCCCAATGAGGCAGAGCTCACACCAATACCACCCACAACGCGCATTGCTGCGTCACATCCATCTCTGCCTTTGTGGGTTGATGCCTTTTGTGCCACCTCCCCCTTCTCACGCGTGTTTCATCCTCCACAGGGCGACGCACTGCTCTTCTTCTCCCTGAAACCTGATGGAAAGCAGGATTTCATGGCCGAGCACACGGGCTGCCCCGTGGAGAGTGGCACCAAGTGGACAGCCACCTTCTGGATACACGAAGAGCCGTTCAGACGTACGTGAGCGTCCTTTTCAGCAGAGGTCCAAGTTGGCCCCTTGACACTACCTAATTCCACAGTCGAATCGCGTTAATTGGTGCCAAACTGGCTAAATTGGTGTAACTTGGCTGAATCAGTATGAATTGGTAAATAATTCAATGTCAAAGTTTACATAAACTCTATAAAGAAGTCTATTGAAGCCTTTGGTATAGCCCGCATGTCGGAACCAGGATCAGAAGCCAGCTGACTTGTTCTGCGTTGCGCGTGGCCAGCAAGCACGTTCAAGCCCCCGCCGCCTGGCTGGGTGCCAGATGATGCAGGCGAGTGCCGGGACTTCGATGAGCATTGCGCCGCCTACAAAGAGCAAGGGCGTTGCGAAAGCGACGCAGCGACTTTGGTGAGCTCGATGAATGCCAAAAAGGCACTTGCCCTCCTTGCGGCTGCTTCAGTGGCCCAGAGCTGTGCCCGTGCCACCGTTGAACCGATTACTTGGCAGAACGGTTTGTCAATCGTGCTCATCAATTTTAGTCGAATCTGGAATGAACGAGCTGGCCGTGAAAATTTGCGTGCTCGGGTGAGGAGGTGGCAACGATCTGTCGTCCGTCCCAGCGTCGCGATGCGCGTCTCCTGCTTGTTCGTTGATTTGTCGGTGCATTCAGATGGGCGCTGCATTGTGTTGTTGCCATGCGTTTGTTGGTACATTCAAATGTACGCTGCAGCAATGCCTCTATTGGAGCAAACGTTGCGCCAGGGCACTGCGGTGTCATCAATTATGCTTTGATGCAATCTGGAACCCAGTATATTATTTACCTTATCGTGTATTGTACTTTATCGCTCGCTTCGTTCCGTTCCTCCTCTCAATCAACTTGCGTGTGCTCGTTTTGTGCCAAAAGTTAGGTTCCTTTTGGAGAACATTCACTTCATGCCGCCAAAATTTGTACCATTATCATAACTATCATTTGGGATGATTTTGAAGTGTCTGCGTGTGTGTCCGGAACAGAAAGGGGACCTACTGGGCGACGGTATGCTTGGAATTTGCCGCAAGACCTGTGGCGTTTGCGTCGAGTGCGCGCCCAACGACAAGGAGTGCTACCTCCAAAACAGGGCCAACGCCGGATACTTGAACCTGGACCTCCAATATTTGTGGCCAAGGCCGGGTAGCGCCGAACAGCAAATGGATACGTGAGGAGAGCGTTTATCCACGCTGCTGGTGTCTCATTGGACTTTTTGCACGGCGCAGTCCCTTGCGCACTTTCAAGGCGAATGGGGGGCACCTTTGCAGCCTCTCAACCCGAGGACATGGTTGTCAAGTGCTTCGCGAATAACGCCTTCAAAATCTCCACCCAGAAACGCGAAACGACTCAGTTGGATGTGGATGCCGAGAGGTTGGGAACGAGTCGAGTGGTTGGGAACGAGCATTTGTGGGTGCAAAGGCGTAGTAGCTTCAGGGAGCGCTTCCGTAGGACGCTGCTTCCGGGGAGGGGTGCGGGCAGTGGTGCGGGAAGGACTGGAGCAGGCCCTTGGGGTGGCAGTGCCCTTTGCATAGTGTCAGCGTTGCAGGTTCAGGTTTGGGGCCTTCTTGCGCTTGTCGAGTGGGAATTGGGGGAGCCCACGGGCGCCCCTGTCCTGCCTGGCAGCGCTGCAGTTTGTGTCCTGATTTAATTCAATTGCGGCCTCCCTTGCGGAGGCATTGTGGATGAAACTCAGCACCTAATATGGCTCCCAATGCACCTCGCCATGACTTTTTGCATATGATGTAACAATCATGCAGCGATGGCACCATCCGACTGTTCATGTCTGTATACGGCCTATGTCTCAGCACTGGCGTGCACAAGCACCGACAACTGAGGGATCGTAGAAGCTTTTGGGTGCAACCACTATCAACACCTACCAGTGCACGTGGGGCAAGCATCTCCAGAACACACCCATTGCTACTGGCAAGGTGTCTGGGGAAGGAAGCTTCATTTCGTATGACCCTCTGCGCCGGCCTTTGGCAAAATGTGGATAGGGAAGTACATGTGCACATACACACAAACATGCGGTATCAGGTACTGAGCGCTTGAGTACTTGCTACATGTGCTTGGTACATATACTTGATACTTGGACACTGTAGCTAGCTATAGTGCCCACTTACGTGCATTTGTTCCCAGTGCATTTTCAACCATCTTCATGATGGCCATTGTCCATGTCGAACATGCAAAGCGCATACAGCTTGCAAGTGCATATCGCCATTGTTTGTATGCCCGAAGTTGGCAGCTGATTCGGCGCGAAAGTCATTCTGAAACGACGCCCAACCGGCATTATTGCGGCTTCCTGGGAAGTTTGGCAGCCTCTTCTGACCCAAGCTGGCGTTCCTTATGATTTTCCTGGTAGGAGCTACCTGGAGCAATGCGTCACAATTGGGAACCTGGCTGCCTAACAATGCATATCCAGCCTTATACTTCAGTGCATCATTCAGACACACGAGTGTGTATATTTTGTCCCATGGGACCCCTTCGCCATGTTCCAAATCATTGTTCAGAGGAATCACGAAACAGGAGTTGAACTGACGACAATGGCAACTGCACGACAACCCTCATAGGGTAGCTTACTAATGCAAGCAGCGTTGCTAATGTGAAAACACCTGGTGAGTTTGGCCGCAGAACTTCTGGTTGTCAAGTAAGGAACCCACAGGGCCTGCACACGGGCTTTTGAAGGGTCCTTTGAAATGGCCCGGTTGGCAGGCGCGCCAAGGACGAGCTGATTAAAGTGGGTCCTTTAGGCCCAGGCTCTGTTTGATGCAATAAAAGAGTGGCATGTGGAAGCACACGAAAGCAAAATAGGAGGGAGACAAAAATACTAGAAATTGCAACAAAGAATTACAAGGATAATGAATACAAAATTCGAGCCTCGAGTAATGCTCTGTCGCCACATTTTCTATGAATCCTTGCCCTCAATTCCCAATTCCTTCTATGTTCACAGCCCTGCATATGGGAAGAAAAGGTAAATTAGATTGAAAGATTGAAAGACTTTTTATGCGAGCGTAAGTGGCGCAAAAATGATTGATAAACGGAAGAGCAAGGAATTGGTGACGCGCGGATCACTTACCATTCACTAGAGTCACAGAAATGCCAGCACCCGACGGTCGCAGCTGCCAACACTAGACCAATGGTGTCGGCAGTATTGGTTGTCGACGTCACACACCTGACAGTCCCTGACAGGCGCCGACGTCGCATCCCAACGTCTGCACCATAATGTTGGCAAGAATTGGCATTGTCAGGCCCCGACAATGCAGCCAACAGGTATTTCCTGCCCCGACACTTTGAGCCCGACATTGACTGAGCGTTGGCAGAGTGTCAGCAGCGTCTGCTAGCTTGCAAGCTAGCAGACTCCACCGACTCTCCACAGCGTCCCGGGATACTCAGCGAGAAAGAGTTCACCCTTCCCTTATTCCTTTGCAGAGCCCCCAAGGAGAGAGAGTGGAGTTGTCCAAGGGAATGCCAACGCCAATGCCAGGTGATGAGCCACATGAGGTGGGTCCGCCAAAGTTTGGCCAGGGCTGCGCGGCACTCCTCGTTACCCCAAGCCAAAGGGGCACTGGCGCAAAGGGCTCATCCAGGGATGAGCAGCAATGGAACCGCAGCTTGAAAATGGGTCACTTGCCGTCTTGCTCCATACTCGACAGGTCTTGTGGGTTTGCCAATTGAAGATTCCTCCCTTCTTGAATATCCCTTTCTGGGATGGCTGGTGCTGACATCCCATGTCAGTTCTGCACTGCCCTGCGAGCATTGTGCGCAATCTGCCCTTTGCACCGCTCATGCTTCGGCAGCTGCCTTTAGTCACACCGCACGTGCCGGCGCCCCGTCCCCACTGCTCCCATCAACCGCAACAACACAGTGGAACAGACCGGTCGGTTGGCAGCTCTAAAATGGTGCTGTGTGTCCATTCGGGCAGGCGGCAAGGCTTGGGCTGTCGATTGGGCTCGCTTGGCCTCAGCAGATGAAAAGAGTGTTGCGGTACCTATGCCTGCGCTGTTCA